TCTCTCTCTCTCTCTCTCTCTCTCTCTCTATGTCTATCATAAATAAATAATCTTTTAAAAAATTAAAAATAAAGATGAAAGTAAATCCATCACCCCCCAGCCTCCACCACCACACCGCCCTCCCCAAGCATCTCCCACTCCCCTTTCCCCAGCCCATGGCAACCACAGATCTTTGCGCTCTCTGTGGACTTATCCGCCGTGGATGTCCGTGTGGACAGAAGCGTATACTACACGGCCTTTTGTGTCTGGCCTGTTCTGTTCACTTAGCGTAAGGTCTTCAGGTGTCATCGGTGCTTCCTGTTTGTTGCCACATGTTCCCCTGTGTAGACGTACCGCATTTTGTGTGCGCATTAGCACCCTGGTGGACAAGGAGCTGTCTCTACCTCTGGCTGTCAGGGGTCGTGCTGATGTGAACATGTGTGTTCGGGCATTCGAGCAATCACCTGTCTTCACTTCCTGTGTGCCTCGCGGTGGAATATGTTTAACTTTTTGAGAAACCATCAGGTTGTTTTCCACGACATCTGTACCGTTTCCCACTCCCGCCAGCAAGGTGTGAAGGTGAAGCTTCTCTCCACATCCTGTCAACACTTATTCTTACTTTCCCTTGTTGTTTTGTTTTGTTTTGTTTTGACCCATCCTAGTGGGTGACATTACCATATGTCACTGTGGTTTCGATGTGCATTTCTCCAATGACCACTAATGCCAAGCATCGTTTTCATGTACTTGTTGGCTGCGTCTGTACCTTTGGAGAAATGTCTAGTCTTTTGCCCGTTATTTTAAATTGAGTTGTCTGTTACTGGGTTGAAGAGTGTGTTATGTCATCTGGATACTTGACCCTTATGTGATGTGCAGATACTTCCTCCCGTGCTATGGGTTGTGTTTTCACATTCTTCTTCATGTCCTTTGATGCCTCTAATTTGGGTGATACCTAATTTTATTTCTTTTGTTGGTTGTGCTTTTGAGGTCATATCTGAGAATTCATTGCTGAACCCAAACTCATGAAAATTTATTTTCTTCTATGAATTTTATGGTTTTAGCCTTATATTTAGGTCATTGATCCACCTTGAGTTACTTTTCATATGTTGTAAGGGTGGATATCTGGCACTCCTTTCCCTCGTTGGGTAGTCTTGGCAGCCGTGTCAAAGACCAGTGACCATGGTTGTGTAGATTTATTTCTAGACTCTCAGCTCTGTTCCACTGGTCTATGCTAATACCCACCTCCCTGTTTGGAGTACCGTTGGCTTTTTAGTACATTTTGAAGGAGTATGTTTGGGAAGTGTGATTCCTCCCAGTTTTTTCCTTAGTATTGTTCTGACTACTCTGGGCCCTTTACAATTTTATATGAATTCGAGGACTGCTTTTTCCATTTCTGGAAGAGAGCGCCAGGGGAATTTTGGCAGTGATGGCATGGAGTCTGTGGATTGCTTCAGGGGGAGCGTTGCCGTCCTGATCCGGGAAGCTGAGGTGCCGGTCCGCTTACTTAGACCATCTTTAATTTCTGTCAGCAGTGCTCTGTAGTTCAGTGGACAGATGCTTCAGCTCCTTGGTGACGTTTATTCCTGTGTTGAGCTCCAGCAGGGGTGAAAGCGGGCACCCTTGTTTGGGCCCCATCCTAGGGGGAAAGTTGTGACTGCACCGTTGAGGCTGAAGTGAGTTCTGGGTTTTCCACAGACACGCTTCATCACGTTAAGAGAGCTCATGAAGGGGGCCGTGAGGGACTCCAGACGGTCTGGTCTCTTCACTGCAGACTCGCTCGTTCCTCTTTGTAACTATAATTACTGAGTTATTTGTGGGTTCGGGGTTGGGCTTCATTCTATGAGCTCTTCACCAGCGAGCTTCAGGAGCCTGTGGAATGCTTGTAGGGAGTGCTGTCGTGACAGGAAAGGAGACAGCAGCTGCCCAGGCTTTCCCCCGCAAATGTCCACGTCTCACGGCCTCCCCCCGGCCCAGGGCGACGGGTTCTTACGCTGTCCCCCTCCTCTGTGTTAACAGCCAGACTCGGATTCGACCAAACACTCGACTCCGTCGAACAGCTCCAACCCCAGTGGCCCCCCAAGCCCCAACTCGCCGCATAGGAGCCAGCTCCCCCTCGAAGGCCTGGAACAGCCAGCCTACGACGCCTGAAGCCGCCAGCCTCCCGCCTCACCGCTGTGGGGCCAGGGAGCTGGGGGTGGCCTCGATTGTCAGTGCCAAGACCGAGCTGACCCGCCAGTGTTGTCCAAGCAAATGTAGACTCAATTTGTAGATATGGAGATAAAGCAAATCTTTATTATAATAATGATCAGTTTTCTGCCGCATGGTCTGTGGTGGTAGGCCAGACCCACTCATCTGCACAGCTGTGGGACAGCACTGTTCCGTTTGCACATGAAGGACCAGCACATAGCCCCCCCCTCCCCTCCCGGAACGAGCTGCCGGGGCACGTGGGGCCCTGCGGAGGCCGGTCTGCCCCGCAGAAACCCAGGAGGCCCGGTGCCGCTCCGCTACAGAAGCAGACAGCTCGGACGCAGCCTCACGGACAAGCCTGTTCCCTGTTTCCTGAAACTGTTTCCTAGGACCTTAGAATAGTAGGAAGTTGTGTTTCAGTCCCAGTGTCACTAGAATTTTCAAGACAGGAAAGCGGAGGTTAGTCGGTGGCCTTTTATTCACGTAGCCATTACAGTCAGCTGCGGAAGACCCTCTGCCGACCGTGTAGCCATGGACGGAGGCCCCCGGTGAGCGACACCTGCCCTGGTCCCGTGTGTGCGTTAGGCCGTTCCCGGTCACAGCCATCAAGTGTCACCTGTGTCTACTACTGTGAAGTCCACGCGCTCCCACAGCTTCTGCCTCACCGTGAAGGCGGGACGTGTCGAGCTGCAGCCGGGTCCCGAGGCCTGCCAGGCGGAGGCGGCCAGCGCCCCCGGAGCCCCGCTGCGAGCGCCACCCCCGCCGCCCCGCCCCTGCATGGAGCCCTGTGATTAGTGCCCGAATGCATCATATAGACTCGCCCGACACACTCCTGCACATTGGCTCTGCCCGTGGATTTACTCTCCCCTCCTTGCTGCTGTGTGAGTAATCAGGTTTGGGGCCTGTCCCGGGAAAGGCTTAGGGTTAACTGGCCGGCAAACACCACTTGTCTTCGGCCCCGGACAGGCTCTTCCCTGCCCTCCCGCTGGTCAACGTCGTTGGCGGCGCTGTTGAAGACGTGCACTTACCTTGAGTCGGCACTGAGTGATGTGGGCACCGCGGTCTGCCTGTGCGTGTCACACACCCGGCACCTGCTGCCCTCCCGCCCCCCGGGCCTTCTGCTGGGGCCGGCACCTGCTGGGGGTTCTGGTTTTTACTTTTTTAATGTAAGTCTGAGTCTTTGTAATTATTGAATCGTGAGAACATTTTTGAACAATTTACCTGCCAATAAAGCAGAAGACAGCAGTTTTAAAGTTCTCAGTGGTTCGTCTGAATGTGATGACTTGTCACCCTGCATGTGTCTGGGTCTCCCGGTAGCACCGGTGCCGGAAACCCCTCCCCAAAAGGCAATGAGGGAGCTGTTGTACCGGTTGCAGCCGCTCTTTGTCATTTGCTCGCTGACGGGGAGGGGGTTCCTTCACGTGGCAGGAACTGGTTCCCAGAGTAGGACTCTGCCCCCTCCCCCCCGCAGAGGCTGCAATGGGGATATGCCTGGGGGTTCACCCTGACATGGTAGGCAGAGGTGGGCTTGGGCCACTGTGGAGAGAGGGGCCGGCCGGCCACGGGCTCCTGCCAGGCCTCCGCCAGCCAGCCACAGCAGGAGGCTTAGGGTTCCAACCTGAGAGGAGTAGAAGCCTCTGGGGCCCCAGGCAGGGCCAGGCCAGTGGGCACCCAGGAGACCCCCCCCTGCAGGGCGGAGCAAGAGCCCCACCCCCACTCCCCCAGAGAAGCTGTGACCTCCAGTTGGGAAGCCAGAGGACCGCCTGGATCAGCAGGGAAGGCCACGGTGGGGCGGGCCAATCTCCAGGAGGGGGGGGGGGCGGGCCTGTATTCACCCTGAGAAGACCCTCCCTCCCCCAGGCAAGTTCCTGGTGGAACAAGGGCGATGGTTTGAAGATGCGGTAGGGCCTGGAGAGCAGCCAGCCCAGCACCGGGCAGGGATGCCCCGCGGCCCCGCTCCTGATGCACATCCTACACCCCATCTGCTCCCCTTGCCTTGGCAAGTCACACCACCCCCGGCATGGGGGACAGATGGCACTCCTCCCACCTGCTGAAAGGGGACCAGGGTGTCAGCAGCAGTGACCACGCAGGGCGCGGCTGGAGCCCTTCAGAACCCAAGTTCAGTCGCATCAGCTGGGAAAACCCATCAAGGAGCACGGCCCGTGCTCGGTGAGCGGCTGGCCGGGGCGCAGAGCCGGGATCTGGGCCGGGCTGTCGAACCCGGTGCCCGTCGGTGCCTGTCGCTAGGCTGAATGACAGACGCGCAGGTGTCGGCTGTCCTAAAGTGGAAGAGCTGTCGTAGCACAAGCATGGCGTTCACAGTGGGACGCCACACACCACGGTGGGCATCGCCGACGGGACGCCAGCCGGCAGGAGCCCAGCTCCTGGTGCCGGGAACTGGAAAGCCACCAAACACATCCATCCACCCGGCAGGAGCCCCCGGAGGACTGACCCCGGGGCGCCGGCGACGCCTCCAGGCCCGGGTGCACCTGACGCAGCAGGATGTCTCCGACGGTTCAGCGGAGCACCCGCCCGTTCGCGTCACACGCAGCCGCAGCCGTGTGAGCCTCCTCGCTGCTGCCCGCTCCCCAACCACAGCCCCCGCAGAAGGGGCCCGGCCCGCCGTGATGGACAGCAGACACCCTCCGCCCGACACCTGGGCACGGAGCTCCACCCCCCGTGCGTGGGCCCCACCCTGGCCCTCAGGACAGCAGCCAGGCCCGCCAGCAGGAGCCCCCACACCCCACCCCGCCTCCCAGCCCAGGGGGAGAAGCCTGTGCTAGAGCAGCAGCAGGTCCCCGAGGAGGAGTTTCTTCTGGTCTGGAGGAGCCGCCTGAGGAGCCAGCCCCGCCCTGAATTCTCCCTTTCCCAGCAAGGACTTTCATCCACAACCACCCCTCCCAGCTCCCCCTTCCCCAGTCCTCCTCTTCCTCTCCCTGGGTCTCCAGGCTGCCCTGCCCGTGGTTCCGTGGTTCCGCCGCAGCCCGCAGATCCTGCAGCAGTGCCATTCGTCTGCATTCCAGAATAAACCCGTTCCTCTGGGGAAGTGACTGGCTGTTCTACTCGGCTGCTCGGGGTGCCGGACACCAGCCTCACCCGCCGCCTCGCTCCCCTGCTCCAGGGGCAGCCTTCCCCATATTCTGGGTGCAGCTCTGCAGACTGCAATTTTCCGGGAGTGCTTGGAGCTGCCCTTTGCGGGTGGCCAGAGGGCAGGATTCTGAGGAGCACGCTCACCGGTGGGCAGCCTGACGGGCACACTGGCCGGCCCCCCACGCTCACGCCGAGGCACAGGAGGGCCACTGGGGGCAACGGACTCCGGGTGCAGGAAACGCTTTATTGGGCAAAGCCACCCTACCCTTGGGCTGGGGGGACAAGGCGTGCGTGGCAGGGGGCGGGGACCTCGCAAGGTCGGGGCGTCCATCTCGCGGGGGCGGCGGCGGGCACAGGTAGGGGCTGGCCAGCCCCGCGGTTGCTCAGGCCTCGGCTTCGGCGAACAGCGGGTTAACGAAGTAGCTGCGGCTGGTGCTGCTGTTTCCCGCCTGCTGCGCTGGGGGAGGCTGCGGGGTGCGTGGAACCTAGGGGCGGGGGCGCGGAGTCAAGGGGCGTCGGCGGCCGCAGGCCGGAGGGCAAGTCCCGCCGCGCGCGCCCTCACCGGCCCCGCGGAGCCCGCCTCGTCGAACACCGGGTTGGAGAAGCCCAGGGGCGCCTCGACGGGCGTGGCGACCAACCGCTCGCGCTTAGTCCACCTGGGGAACAAGGACGCCCGTGAGCCCCCGCGCGGCCCCGCGCGCCCCGCCCCCACCCCCCCGCCCCCGCCCCCGCCCCCGCCCCGCGGACCTGAGCCTCGGAGCGCGGCGCAGCAGCAGCGTCCCCGCCGCCAGCGCCAGCAGCAGCAGGAGCAGCCCGGCCGCCACGCCGCCCGCCAGCCCCGCGCGCGAACCCGAGCCGAGCGGCCCCGCCGCCGAGCCGTCCCCGGCGGGCGCGCCCGACTCCCGGGCTGTCGCCGACAGGACCCCGAGGGCTGCGCCTGCAACGAACGGAGGGGCGGGCTCAGGCTCCCGCACGCGGGGCGGGGCCGGGCCGGCCGGGGAGGGGGCGCCCGCGGTTACCGTGCTCGGCGACGTCCGCCAGGAGGGCCCGGGCCAGCCGCCCCGCGCCGCCCGGCCGGGGCCCGGTCTCCGCCAGCACCACCTGAACCTCCGTGTGCGGCCCCGGCCGCCGCCGCACCTTGGACACGGCCGCCTGCAGCCCCGGGTACTGGGGCTGGGGAGGGAGACAGGGTCGTCCCGGGGCCTGGCCCTCGGCCGGCGGGGCGGGTGACGGGAGGTGCGCGGTCAGTGACTGCGTGGGGGGGGCAGTGGCAGTGGGTCCGGGGCCGCCGCGCGGGGGGGAGGGGGGGCAGGGCGGGGGCGCGGCCCCGTTACCAGGAAGGCTCGCAGCAGCCGCGCCCGGTACCGCTCGATGTCAAAGGTGGGGCCGTGGGTCAGCGACACGATGGCTCCTGCGACAGACGGGACGGGGTCGGCGCCGCGAGCGCAGGGCCGTCAGGGAAACGGGCTGGGGGCGAGCCAGGGCAGCTCGCCGGGCCGGGAGGGGGCGCTCACCGCAGAGGTCGCAGCACTGCCCCTCGGGCCGGAGGGCGTCGGGGCAGGCGGCCGGCGGGCAGCGACCGCCCAGGGGCTGGAGCAGGGCCGCGCAGATCCAGGGCTGCACCTGGGGAGGAAGCGGCGGTGAGCGCGGACAGTGGGCGCAGGCCCCCCGCGGCGCCCCCCCGCCGGCCGCCCTCACCTCCGCGTCGCCGCAGACGCAGCCCGACGGGTCGGCGCAGGCCCCGGGGCCCACGCGCAGAGCGCCCGGCCCGTGGAAGCGCAGGCGGCCGGCGCGGGACGCCAGGAACGCAGCCAGGTCCTCGTCGCGCGTGAACGTCTGCGGGGGCAGGGGGGCACGGGCGGCGCCGCCCGAGGAGGGGACAGCCCTGAGCGCCCGGCAGCCGCGCGTGGGCGGCTCGGGGAGGGGGCCCGAGCGCCGCTCACCTGGCCCAGAGCCTGGACGCTGCGGACGCGCGCGGGGCGGGCTCCGGGCCCGAGCCCCACTCGGAAGGAGGCGTCGGGCGGGAAGACGACGTCGTCGTGGCGGCAGGGCACGCGCTCGGCGTCCACGGAGAAGAGGCCGCGCGCCGCGTCCCCGGAGCGCCACAGGCGCGGGTCGTGCCACGAGAAGCGGTCGGGGTCGAGGAAGAGCGCGGGGGCGCCTGCGGGGGCGCGCGCCCCTGAGCTCCGCCCCCGGCCCAGGCCCCGCCCCCCTCCGGCCCAGGCCCCGCCCCCCTCCGGCCCAGGCCCCGCCCCTCACCTGTGCCGCAGTCCGGGTCCCTGCCGGCGTCCGCGGCCCCGAAGCCGGCTCCTGAGGCCAGGACGAACTCCCCGTCCCGCGGCAGGAGCTGCGGGCAGCACAGGCACACGGTGGCCCGGGTGCCCCAGGGTCCCGCCCCCGCCGCCGCGTTCCCGCGGACCGGGCAGGTGAGGTCAGGGGCCCTGGCCGAGGGTCAGAGAAGCCGAGGGAGCAGGACTGCAGGCCCGGGAGCAGGACCTGAGCGCCGAGCGCGCGCTGCCCTCTGCCTGCCGTCCCCGCCGAGCCCGCGGACCCGACCTCCTCCTTCTGACCCTCAGAGTTGGGTTTGGAGAGGAGGGTTGGCGGGGGGGGGGGGGGGGCTGTGCAGTGCGGGGACCCTGAGGGGCTCGGGTCGTCACGGGCAGTCCACCCAGGCCCCAGCCTCGAGGCCCATCGTGCTTGTCCCGCACCTGAGCACCGGCCCTGACCACGGGGCCTACGGGGGGGACACGAGGTCACAGGCCAACCACCTCCACACCTGAGGGTGCGGCACCGACAGGTGCGGGAGTGACCCCGGAGACCGGCGGCCTCGGAACGGGGGAGGGGGTCGCAGTGCACAGTCTGAACAAGAACGTGTTTTTGGAAAGAACCAGAAGGGGTTGAAGCACCATACTGTACCCTGTGTTAACTATGCTGGGATTAAAATTAAAACTAATTGTTAAAAAAAAAAAGAACCAAAGGGGAAATATTAATAAATTACAAAACACAGAATAATGGAAAGGAAGAGCACACTAGGTGAGATAAGCAGAGGGGCTGGGCCCGCTGGAGAAGACCCGGCGAGGGGGCTGTCCTGCCGAGGGACCCAGCGGGGCGGAGGACAGGGAGGATTGACCCCACAGCAACAAAATACAGATACAGAGGCGGTGGGGGCGGGGTGATGTTTGAAGAACCAAGGACGAATTTTCCAGATTTGTACAAGATGGAAAGGCATCACGGAGTGAGGAATGGGAACAAGCAAAGTCATATCCAGACACGTCAGCGTGTTTAGGAATGTCATCGACAGAGAACATTCTGAAAGCTTCAGAGAGCGGCGCCTGGCTGGCTCGGCTGGTTAAGCATTAGTCTTTGGATCAGGTCATGATCTCAGGGTCCTGGGATCCAGCCCTGCATTGGACTCCCTGCTAGCATTTCCCCCGGCTTGTTCTCTCTCTCAAAAATAAATAAATAAAATACTTTTAAAAATAAACAAAATATAAAAGCTTCGGAGAAAAAGAACAGATCACTCATGCACTCTGTGAAATAAATAAATCAGTCATTAAAAAATACATATTAGTTGACTAGAGCCAGTAGTGGTTGTTTATTTATTATTTATTTATTTAGGAGGAGAGAGAGAGAGAGAATCTCAAGCAGATTACACTGAGTGCAGAGCCTGACCTGGGGCTTAAACTCGTGACCCTGAGATCAGGCCTGAGCCAAAGCCAAACAGTGGTTTAACTGGGCCACCCAGGCTCCCTCAGTAGTTTATTTTAAAAATACATGGTGATCATGGGGCTCCTTCCCAGGACTGTCCCCGCCCCCCTTCCCCGTGGTGTGTGCGATGGTATCCCAGCAGATGGCATCGAGGAGTCTTGGCCCAACAAAATCAGGGTATTAGGACAGAGGGAAGTCAGGTGTCTTGCAGAAGGGGCAAGCTCTGACCTGCACCCACAGGAAGGTGCCAGATGCACATCAGTCTTGTAATGACAGTTCAACCTCAGACAACCTCATTAACCAGCTAAAAGGAGGGAGGGGGCAATTGTATCTCACCTGATGTAAAACAACAACAACAAAATACCAGAGAAGTCCAACAAACCTATTTATGATTTTTTTAAGAAGCTGCTAGCAAGCTAGTAAGAGAATTTCCACAATTTAATAAAGGTTCTGTACCAAACCCTACAGCAAGCATTACACTCGATGGAGAAACACGACATGCCTTGTCTTTCACATTGGAACAAGACACTAACCTAGGGGTAGGGGGTCCTGGACAATGTTTTGTCTTTTTTTTTTTTTAGGGAAATTTATTTACTTCTATTATAGACAGTGAGGTGGGAGGGGCAGAGGGAGAAGGAGAGAGAATCTCAAGCCGACTCCCCACTGAGCATGGAGCCCGACAAGGGGCTCGATCCCAGGACCCTGAGGTCATGACCTGAGCCGAACCCAAGAATCCACACTTCACCAGCTGAGCCACCCAGGCGCCCCTTGCACAATGTCACTTGGAAACAAAAATAAATAAAAGGAGTTAGGACTGGAAGGAAAGAGGAACAACTATTGCCATTTATTTAAAAGAATAATCAACTAGACTATGTAAAATTTTTAAAATAGAGTCCTGTCCACAATAGAAACCACACTACAAAGCGTTTCTGAGTGAACCGATGCTATACAAGACCCTGTGGGGACCACGCGAAAACTAGTGAGTATTAGGGTGGATGAGAGGGAACATCGTAACACTCAGGAGCAGCTCATGCCTGATGGTGTAAGAAAACTTCCAGGGTTTTGTCGTGGCTGTTGTCACCTGGTAAGCCTGCCCCTACAGGTTCTCTGTAACAATCGGACCCACAGAGAAGCAGCTGGCCTTGGAGCCAAAGAGGGGAGGGAGGGGACAGCTGCCCCGGGTGCGAATCAAGACAACCCAGGAGCCAAGCGGGAGCGGCACACAGAGCAGAGGGGAGCAGAGGGGGAGCTCTGGGGGAGGCCCCTGCGCGCAGGTCGCCTGGGGAACGGTGGCAGCAGCGCCACAAAGCCGGGGGTGGGGGGCAAGGCTGGTGGCTTGGAGCAAGACGTCAGAAATTGGACTTGCTCTTGGGGGGGCGGGGGGGGGGAGTAAAGCTGGTCCCGAACCTAGCTAGTGCCCCTGGTGGCCAAAGTGTCACTAGGGCTGTGGCTCGGCGGGGAAGGTTCTCGGCACCGCCAGCACCAGGATAAGGCTGCAGAGTTGGCACCACGGGGCCTCCGTTCTGCAAAGGGCACCACAGGCGAGACACGTGCAGGGTCCCCAACCAACGAGGGCTTGATGGACAGAAGACGTGAGATTCCTCCGGCCCAGAAAACGGGGTGACTAGAAATGGGAAGCGGGGAGGGGGCTCCGGAAAGGGAATATCCCGGGGAGGGAAGCTCCAAGCCTGGGGTGCACAGACTGAAATGCTGTGGCTGCACCTGTTCCTAGGGCTGCACCTGCACCCGGGTGGCCAGGTCCTGCTGAGCACTGGGGGGAGCGGGGAGGGGGCTGGGGGGAGACCCCTGCACACTGGGGGTGGGAGGCTGTCGGGGCAGCTCTCGGTGCGTTGAACCTGTGCCTGGGCCCTGGACAGTTCCCACCTGGGTCTTCCCACGGAGGCGGGGGGGGGGGGTAGAGACCCCTCCCTGGTGCAGGAGGAGGAGAGGCTGGGGAGGTGAGGGGGTACCTCTCGGGCCCCCAGGAGAGGCGGAGGAATTCCCGTTTGGGCAGTTGGGGTTGGAAAGAGGGGCTAGATGGGGGGACCTGTCAGGCGATGAATGGATGAATGTCTGAGATCCTCAAGCTCTATCAAAGGTCATCATTAAAGTCAGTTGGCAGAGAAGGGCCCCAGGCCCCCACCCCCGACTAACTCCCCCCGCCGAGGGTCCCCCTTGTTCCGGATGCCCCCCTCTACTTGCTCTGGGCTGCTGCCTGCCTGGTTGGCACAGTTGCACCAGCTGGGGAACGGGCGCAGGGTCCGTGCCCCTGCTTCCTCCTTCACCCCACTGCTGACCCCTTCCGTACCCTAGTCTTCGGGTGGGAGAGATGTGAAAGGGCATCCAGACTCTGGATGTGCTGGGACCAGGAACCCCCAGCCTCTGCCCGATGCCCGCCCCCCCAGGCAGGGACGGCTCCGGCTCACAGGTAGGAGTAGGTGTCCCCTTGCCCTGATGTGCCCTCCCCCACAAGTGGCTGGGTCCCACAGTTAATGTCTCTTGTGGAAACCATCGATTAAGCAAGACCTTCAGGGAGAGGAAATAAGGCCTGATGTCCCCAGATCTGGGCAAGTGATTGGGTGGGGCCGTGGCCACCGGATGTCCCCCTCCAACTCGCCCACCCACCCAGTGGCCTCTACATGAGGACCCCAACCCTGGCACCCACACCCAGAGGTGCCCCCCAACTCCACCTTTGCTCGGAGCCAGCAACCCTCACATCAGTCACCTTGCTGGCAGGTCCCCAGTTGATAGGACAGTGACCCAACCCAGAGAGCAGCGGGCGTGTGGAGGCGCTTAACCAGGAGTGACCCGGGGGCCCCAGGGTCCTGGGAAATGACTCTTCAAATCAGGGAATGGTGACCCTTTTCTGTAAAGGGCTGGACAGTAGATACGCTGAGTGTTGAGGGCCCCCGGGGCTCCCGCATGGCCCCTGCCTCTGCCCGGTAAATGACAACGGCGGGGGACGCTGGTGACCCAACGGGCAGGGCTGTGCCCCGATGAGGCTTTATTCAGGGGCCTGAAGCTGGGGTTCTGTTTCACGAGCCACAAGTGTTCACCTTTTGGCTTTTCCCCCCACCATTTAAAAATTTCAAAACCACGCTTAGCTCCAGCCTCGCAGCCGCATTTGGCCAGTAATGGGGGGGGCTGCTGACCCCGCCTTTACCAGCCAGGGTCTGGCCCTAAACACACCCCGAAAGCTCCAGGCAAGTGCAGGACCTGCCACCTCCCGAATTTACCGCCACGGAACCGCTTTCACCCTCCCAAGGCCCCCACTCTCTGCAACACTATGTCCTGGGCCGCAGTTTGGGAGAAAGACCCCCGAATTTCTGATGGGGGTTTTAGGTAAGGGGACAGGGAGAGGCTTTGGGGACGAGGGGGGGGGTGTTTGCTGGAGCGAAGCGGAGAGAGGACACGGGGTGGAGGCCGCGGGCCGAGGGCAGGGCCGTGCCCCCTGCGAGCCCTTTCCAGCCCCCCCGCCCCCGTATCCTTCCCCAGCCTCCCAGGAGCCCGCCCCAGCCCAGAGGGGGTTCCGGGGGCCACCCCCGCAGCCCCGCCTCACCATGTCCGAGAAGCCGTGGCTGGCCCGCACCACCACCGACACCGCCTGCAGGAAGGAGCGGGTTGGCCGGCGCCCCCCCCCGAGCCCCCCAGCCTCCCCCGGAGCCCCCCCCCGTCTGCCTCCCGAGCCCGCGGGGGGCACCTTGTCCGCGGGGAACTGGACCACGGCGCCCGCGCACGGCGTCCGGTTCTGGCTCCAGTTGGCGGCGGCTTCGAAGTCCGTGGTGGGGACCCAGAGCTTGTAGGCGGCCCGGGCCAGCGCTGGGGAGGGCACGACTGAGTGCTCCCCGCCGGGCCCCACCCGGGGAGGAAGGCGGCCGCAGCCGGGGGCCCAGAGCCCGCGGGAGCCCCGCCGCGCGGCCCGCGAACTCCTACGGGATCCGCGGAGCCCGCCCCCCCGTGCCCCCTCCAGGCCGCCCGCCAAGATCGCTCGTCGCCTCGCCCCAGGCTTGCGGGCCGCTGGAGCAGGGGGCCTGGCGGGGCAAGGCCGCGACGACCGAGGGACGGACGGCGCAAGGGGGTCGCGGGGCGGGAGGGCGGAGGCGCCCTGGGGACTCGCGATCGCGGGACCGCGGGGGGCTCGGGGGCGGGGGCGGGGGCGGGGCTGCAGGTTCTAAGCTCCCGGGCCTGGGGGCGGACGCCGGGGACCGCGCCGGCCGGGCGCCGAGGCGAAGGGGAAACTGAGTCAGGCTGCGGCCGCGCCCCGCTGGGAGCGGGAACTGGGGGCGGTGCGCGGCTCGCAGGCCCCCCCCGGCGCCCGAGGGTCCGGGCCCCCAAGGCGGGGACCCTCTGAAGCCCCGCCGCCCCGGGCCCCCTTACCGCACAGCTGCAGCCACAGCAGGGCCCGGCCCAGCGCGCCCATCCCGCCGCGCGCCCGTCGCCGCCACCGGGACTTTGCCCCGCGGGGCCCACCTGACCGGGCGGGGCGGGGCGGGGCGGGGGCGTTACCACTTACCCCGGGCCCGGGGGCGCCCTGCGGCTCCTGCCCGCACACTCAGCCCTGGGGCCCGCCCACCCGCTCCAAGGCGGGGCGAGCTGGGGGCGGGAGGGACCCCCTGGGCTCCCTGCTCCCGTGCCCTGTGCCCGGGGGCTGCACCTGCTCTGCCACCCCTGGGCTGGGGGCCTTCCTTCCAAGCCCCCCTCACCCCCCCCGCCTGGATGCCCTGCGGGCGCCGGCAAATGGGCCTGTGGCGGGTGGTGGGAGCCCGGGCGGGGCGGGGGGGGGAGGGGGACACAAGGCTGGGGCTGGCGAGGCCCCCAGGGCTGCACACGGAGCTGGTGGAGGAGCACGAGTGGGTGTTGGGCCGCCCCGCGGGGTGATGGGGGCGGCCACGGGGGCGGGGGCGGGTCGAGGAGACCCCGCGGTGCAAGAGGCCCGGTGGCTGGTGGCTGGTGCTTGGGTGGGGAAGAATGATGGAAAGGGGGGGAGGGGGGGAGACTAACCCGGTGCTTGGAAAAACGGGTGGTTGGTGGGTGAGAGACTGTAGCCCCCAGAGTTTGTCGGGACGATGGTGGCTGACGGCGGCTGGCGTGGGACTGAGGGTGGGACTGAGGGTGGGACTGAGGGTGGCCGAGGGCCAACAGGCCGGGCCGAGCGGCAGGAGGAGGTGGCTGCGGCGGGGGGACGCGGGGCAGGAGGACTGACTGCGTGCGGGCTGGGGGGAGGGGACGGCGGAGGGGTGGGCCTGGTGGACACACTGGTCACTAAGTAACCGGTGATGGACAGCGCCTTACAGGAGGGACAGGTGGGAACCGATTACCAGGGGACAGGGGGCCCGAGCGTGACAGGAGTGGGCAGATGGCACCTTCCTGGTTATGGCTGATGGCCCGGGAGGAGTGGTGGGTGGGCCACTGGGTCCAGGACAGCTGCTGAGGGGAGCGAGACACGGGGGAAACGGGCTGGGGGGCAGGGGATGGACATGGGGGTAGAGATGAGGACTGGGGTCCCCCCCCAGGAGGGCATGACCGCCTGCGGCTCCCTCCTGCCCCTGCAGGCCCCTGGAACTGCCCCCGCCACCCTACTGGTCTCGGTGACCCGGTATTTCATCCGAGGGGGACGGCACCCGCCCCTGGGAGCCCTCTGGCCTCTTCACCCAGCTTGTGCCACCGTCGTCCCGGTGGGATCCGGGCACCCGCTCTCCGGGGTGCAGTGGTGCCACCCCGCCCAGCCTGCGATGGGGAGGGGGTGTCCCTGGCCCTGGAGCTCCGCCTTGCCGGCCTGCTGGGCTGAGAAAAGCTCCCTGGACCAGGAACAGGGGCGACTTGGGGGTCACATCTGTTTTGCCCCCTTGTCTTGCTTCTTGCTGGGAAGTAGGCAGTTCTGGGGCCCGGGCCTCTCGGGACCCCACCAGGGGCTCTGGCTCTGCTCCCCTCACCTCCTCCACCCCCCGCTGCGGCTCTCCAGGAGGAGAGCTGGGGGCTCAGTGACCTTCACCCCCCGGGCCCAGAGCCCAGAGCCCCGTCGCCAAGCCTGAAAGGCCCGGCAGGTCTTCCCAAGGCTGGCGGCTCCTTCCTCCGAGTGGGCAGGTGGTGCCCTGGGACGAGGCCGGGAGAGGCTCTGGAGGGTGGGGGTCGAGCCTCGGGGAGACGCCTTTCTGGCCACTGCGCCCCTACCTGGCAGGTGGCTCCCGGGGGGCTGTACTGTCTGAAGAGGGCAGTCCGAGAAATCTTCCTGGAGGAGGTGGCCTTACAGCGGGCACACAGGAGGAGTCAGAGCTGCCGCCGCAGCGTGGAGGGTAGAACGAAGGGGGCACAACAGGAGGAGAGGGGGCTGCTATCGGCATCCGTCCCCCCACCCCGAAGGGGGTAGGCCTGAGCAGCAGCCGGACGCGGCCCCCACGTGTCCAGCTATCCGAGGGGGACCCGGGCTGGAGCCTAGGCTGAGGCAGGAGACAGGCCCCGGCCCTGGCCCACAGCTGCCGAGAGCCCCTGGGACACCAGGAGCACAGACAGGTGCAGGGCACGGCTAGACCGCAGACGGGTGCCCTGTGTTCCCAGAAGGCCCCGGGCTGCACACACAGAGCCCGGGGAGCCCAGGTACTCACGCGGGCACGCATTTTGGAAGTGGCCAGGACTCCGCTGGAGGTAGGAGAAACGCAGAGTCCCACAGTGAGTTTCTTCCACGACGCAGCTGCTTCAGGCGAGGTTGGATCCAGGCGCCAGCCAAGCTCTTGGACCCCTGTGTGCCTGTCTCACTCCTCCTTGGCTGCCCTCGCTGTGTGGGCGTCCCTCTGTGCACAACCTTCTCCAGGGGCCAGGAACGATGGTCTGGGGGGACCCGGACCCCACGCCTCACTGACTAGCCTTCCTTTCTGTTTCCAGCTCTGCACAGATCACAAGCGCAGAGGTGCTGTGCTCCGACTGGGACCTTGGCCCTCCCCTTGGTGTGAGGGCTTGAGTGACAGCCCTGCCACCCTGGGGGGTGGGGGGGCAGACCTGCCTGCTGTGCTGCGGGGTCCCCACTGGGATTTGCAGAGCCATGGGCATCACCCCCATCCTCCCTCCCCCTTCCCTGCCACTGAACGGGAATGGATCCAGCCTCAAGAGCAGTTCCCCAGCTCCTTCTCCCCGACCTTTGTCCCTGTGACCTCAGGCAGTCTCCTGCACCTCTCCGGGCTTTAGTGTCCCTCTGAGGCGCTGAGGCTCCAGCGCGCAGGCTCTGTTCCCGCACAGGGGAAGGAGGGGTGAGGTGGGGGCCGTGGGAGCGTCTCTGCATGAAGTCACCTCCCCAGAGAGGCCGCGCTGGGTGCCCTCGCTGTCAGCACCCCCCCTCCCCCGTGTGCCCCTGGGGCCCACGTCGCCTTCTCCAGCTCCACTAGCTGCTGCCTGGAGCCAGGAGCCGCCCCAACAATAGTGGGGGAGGAGGACATGGCTGGCAGTCCCCACGGCACCCCGCCGCCTCCTGCAGACCTCCTGGCCCATCCTGCCAGCCCAGAGGCCACCGCTGGCTGCGGGTCTCCTCGCTGCCCCGAGAGTGCTTGTCCCGGGGCCTCCCCGCGCCCCGCACCCCGCGCCCCGGCCCGCAGGAGGGGAGGAGCTGCGGGGCTCGGAGTCCTGCCTTCCTCGGAGGCCAACCCCGAGTCGGGGAGCCCCGGGGGAGCAAGGCCGGGGCCTGTGGGCCCCGGGCAGGCCCTTCCTGCAGGGGGGAGGCGGGCCGCCCCCAGAGTTCGGGGCGCAGCTGTGCGCGGCGGAGCCCGGTGCTGCCCAGCCAGCGCTCGCCCCCTGGGCCTTCCCGCACCCGGGGTGCCCTGCAGGCCGGGGCAGGGCCGAGCGCCGGAACCGTCACGGGCGGCGGCGGGGCGCAGGGCGGGCTCCCAGCTTTGGCCCGGGCCGGGGGCCGCCGCTGCGGACGGGCGCCCCGGTGCTGCGCCGGGGCCAGGCCAGGCCGTGGGGCTCCGAGCCCCGCTTCTCGGCCGCTCGCGCCTGCGGTTCCCGGCGCCGCCAGCAGGGCGCGCCCTGCCCCTGGGGTTCGCCGCGGGGCTCCCCTCCGTAAAACTCCGATTAACTCCAAAGAGGCCCAAAGGCAAGGGAATCCCGGCTGAGGGCCCCCTCCGAAGCAGCTGGAACCCCCAGCTCTCGGTGCTCCCGGCCGTCCTCGGGGGCTCCGGCCTCGGCGGCGGCGGGTCACCTGCCGAGTGGCACAGCGTCCCCGGCTGCACGGCGGTGGGCGCCCAGGCCCTGCCCTGTTCTGGGTGCTGAGCCCGCCTTAGAGCAGTGGGGGCCCCGGGCGCCCCACTGTGCGCCTCCCTGCAGGGCTGAGGGTGTGGGGTCGGGAGGACTCTGGTGGGCCCGCAGCGTAGGACGGCAGGAGCAGTGCCCTGAGGGCCTGGGCAGGACCCCGGGGTGGGCCCGAGACCCTGGGCTCCAGCCCTTCCTGCTGCCCACGGCGCTCTGGTGGCCCAGGGGGGCTGCAGTGGGGACACCTGGAGGGGCAGGACAGTAGGGGAGGGGCTGGGAGTTCCCACGTCTTTGCACCAGGGCTGGAATTCAGGGGTGCCCTCAAGGGCCTCCTGCCCCTGGTCCATATAACCACCCGGAGAAACGCTGAGCTGGGAGGGGTCATGCTGGCCCTCTGCCCCCAACGCCCCAACACCCCTGAGCAGCTGCTTAGAACTGGTTCCTGGGGGCGCCTGGCTGCCTCAGTCCGGAGAGCCTGCGACTCGAGATCTCAGGGTTGTGAGTTAGAGCCCCACAGCGGGGACAGAGATGACGGAGATGAATGTAAACACCTGGTGGCCTGGAGCCCCAAGCCCCTGCTGGTCAGCACTGGTACAGCTCTTTTAAAAAGGTTTGTTTGGGACGCCCGAGTGGCCCAGCGGTTTGGCACCTGCCTTCAGCCCGGGGTGTGGTCCTGGAGACCCGGGATCGAGTCCCACGTGGGGCTCCCTGCATGGAGCCTGCTTCTCCCTCTGCCTGCGTCTCTGCCTCTCTCTGTATCTCTCATAAATAAATAAAATATTTTTTAAAAAGTTTGTTTATTTAGGGGTGCCTGGGTGGCAGTCAGGTAACTGGCCCACTCTTGGTTTTCAGTTCAGGTCGTGATCTCAGGGTCATGAGATCGAGCCCCGCATCGGGCTCCGTGCTGAGCGTGGAGTCTGCTTGAGAGTCTCTCTCAGAGCACAAGTGGGAGGAGCGGCAGAGGGAGGAGGACAGGATCTCAAGCCGCCTCCCCGCTGACCCCAGGACCCCGAGATCACGACCTGGGCCAAAATCAAGAGTCGACCGCTCCACCGACCGAGCCACCCAGGCGCCCTGGTACAGCTTTTTAATAATCGCCTTTCAGAAGGGAGACGGATGCTGTTTGCCGTTTGACAGGTGAGGACCTGAGGCTGGGAGGCCGGAGCCCCCACGCGGCAGGAGGGGGAGCTGGGTGGGCACCAGGCCTGCTCCCGACCGAGCCGCAGGCTTGAGGGCAGGGCTGCTGGGCACGCAGAGGTCACCGAGGTCAGACCCCGCCCGCAGGGGAGGCAGGATTGGCAGCAGAGGCGGCAGGGTCTCCGGCACACCGGGCATGCGGGACCCCCTATTAGTTTTAAGACCACATGTGGGCCCTTTTGAGCGTGGGGCCACGTGGCCACACGGGAGAGAAGAGGCTGGGAGGCCCCAGGGGGTGGAAGGCTCCAGGCCCCAGCAGGCCGCTCCCGGCGCCTGTGAGAGAGACGGAAAAAGAAGCCCAGACTCCTTAGTCAGATTTATTTTCCTCTAATCAGACAGTTTAGCATTTCAAAGTTTTGCATTCTACACTCTTACAAACTTCAGTTATTAGCATCAGAAACACAAAAACATCGCAAGACCTCAAAACACAAATAAATACCAAATAAAACCACACACGATATACAATTAACGAAAATATAAAACATAATAATGCTATCAGAAAATCAGACATGTTGTTAACTCACATTAACAACATGATTATTGCTGAGCAATAACTTATACTGTCTTTTTTTTTTTTTTTTTTTTTTTTGTCTTAGAAGAGCAGAAAAACACAGGACGTGAATCACTGGTCACAATCACTTGGAGTGTCAAGATGGGTCCTCACAGCCAGCGGTTACTACAGACGGCAATTTTTAAAACAGATTAAAAATACAGAGTCAAATGAGAGATTGGCCTTCTTTGGTCTTTGTTTTTGGGTAATAGAACTGAACGAAGAGGTGTGCCATCAGAGAAAGAATGCGATTCTAAAACCTGACACAATTGTCTACATGGATTCACACACTTCCTTGATCACAGATGTTATTCTATAGGTAATTCTTGTAGAAATCCTTGGAAATAATGCCGGCTTTTGTGTTTACCAATTAACTCATTTAGTTTGCTGTTGAAGGTTATCTTACTTGTCTACTAGGGGACTGAGTCATAAAAACCGATCACCACTAATTGCAGGAGTGGTACAGCCATCCTGGACTTGAACCTCTTTTTCAACGCAAGAGTTCGCAAGGGACTCGAGATACAGCAGCAGCAGGAGAAATGAAAGGCAAGCACTGCTCGGCGCCACCAGGGCCCTGGCACTGGGCTCCCTCCCCGCTGCCCGGGCTCCCTGGTGACGGCCGTGCCCCCCGGGCAGGCAGGTCACCTCGGACTCGGGGGCCACCCCCGGACCTCACCTGCCTTAGACCCCAGTGGACGTATTTATTCTACTTTGGAGAAAATAAAACTGTCGAGATTTGCAAACTGAGGACAGGACCATGGTCTTGGGCGGAGAAGCAGATTTGGGTGACAGACCCGTCGTTCACCTCTCAAGCGGCTCCCCGGCCTGGAGCCCCCCGACTCTCCTCCGCAGTCTGAGGAAGGTCCGGACAGTGGCAGGGGACCCGTGTGTCACAGCTCTGCTGACCGCCCAGGGCCGGGGCCCGGGCATGAGCCACCCCGCAGGCTGGCGGACAGGCCGGCGACAGGGTGGGCGGCCCTCGGGGCGGAGCAGGGAGCTGTGCGCCCGGGGGGAGCTGCGGGGCCGGGCCGCCACCCTGTCCCCGGCCCCGAGGACAAGAGCCCCACGGGCCCCCCTCCGCCGGCCGCGGCCCTCGGGACAGGACCCGCCCGCCGAGGACAGCGCAGGCGTTGGTGGCCGCGCCTGGGGTCGGGGCGCAGGGGAGGCCCCCGAACTGGGCCCGCGAGGCGGCCACCAGGAGGACCGGCCTCCCCGGGCTCTGTGGCCCTCGGGGACCCAGGCCCAGGAGCAGCCTCGCGGGAAGGGACGAGCGTGTTGGCCGAGCCTCCCGGGCTGACCTGCCGCCCGCAGATGCTGCTCCGGGGACGCGCCGCGCGGTGGCCCCTGGTGCCGCCTCCTCCCGCACGGCGATGCCTCGAGGCAGAGCCGCCTCCTGCTGGGACAGGACTTAGGACAAGCTCACGAGCTCCTGCGGTCTCCTCCGCGCTGTCTACGGCCCCGGGAGCTGGAAACCCCGACTTCCCCACGCGGCCGGGGACAGGGAGCGGCCCCACGTCCAGGGCGGGCGGACGCTTCGTTCACGCTCAAGACTCGGTGTCGGTTTCCCTAGAGCATCTGGGACACGTCTGTCCCGTGGGGAATTTTGTCACTTTTAGGAAACAGGAAAAGTGCACCCACCACAGTGTGTGTGACACGTGCATCTGCGGCAGGGACCCTGTGAAGCCAGGAGGCCGGCCCCAGGCGGCGAGCACCAAACCAGGGCACCAAGGAGCCAGGACGGAAGCAGCGGCAGGTGCGTCCCTTGGGCAGCGCCACCCCCTCAGGTTCTTCAGGAGGCCACTTTCCAGAAAGTCCCAAGCGCACAAGAGCGAAGATGTGTACCAAAGAGCGGCCGAAAGGCCTATGACCCCCGCGTTCTCACCAACTATCTTCAAGCCACGGGATGAAGCCTCCGCTGGGCACGTGCTCATCCCCGGGGACGGTGCCAGCTCCTGATGCCATGTCCTACGGGCTCCTGGGGAAGGAGGCCAAAAGGGCCTGTCATCTCCCGCCAGGAGCGGGTCTGGGAGGGGCTGCTGGGAAAGTCCCCCCACCAAGGGACAGATGCTTCCAGAAGTGCCTCCAGGTGGCCCACCTCCAGAAGAATTTCAACCAGGAAAGGCAAAGTATTTTTTTTTTATCAGACCGAGATGTTGCTTATCTCTAATTTGTTAATATTGTCCATACTTCTAGTGAAGGGGGAGGAAGCTGCAGGCATGTCCCTGCCGGTAACCCCAGGCCTCAGGAAAGCCACCAGAGGCCAGGCAGGGACTGCCAAGCGTCCTCTCCCCCCTGGGTGTGTCCAGGGTAGAACCAGGGCAAAGTCTGGAGGAGGTCGGGGACACCTTCCAGGGAACAGTGGTCCCACAGCACCTGCAGGAAGTCCTTCCTCTAGGAACAGGGACACATGACTCCTTATGGACAGGACAGAGATCACAGACTCGCCCTCAAAGCAACTGGGGGGGGGTTAGGGTGGAGAAAATAAAGATGAATAGAAGGAGCATCGAACTGCTAAAGGGCGTGGCAGGTCACTTCTGGAAGGGGACAGCGAGGGTTAGGAGGGCACTTCCAGCAGGCACTGGGGCAGAGGCACGCCCAGGGCAGATGGCAGCACCAGAGACACGGCGGGCCACCGGGCACCAGCCCAACCGTCCCCGCGTGACCACGAGGGAGCCCAGAGGCAGGCAGTCTGAGGTGCGCGGCCCAGCTGGCCAATCGTGGGGCGCGTCTTTTGGATGAGCGGCACAGATGCGGTGGTTCACACACATTGGTTTTGCCTAAGAAGCACCCGTCACGTGTAGCACCCATCAGTGGTAAGAGCACCCATGAAGCGTGGTGCATAGCAGAGGGGCACAGAGAGGCAGGGCTCCGGCTTCTAATCACAGTTGGACCATTGAGAGAAGGTAAACAGTGAGTTGAGAAAGTGCCGTCTGGGCAGGCGCAGGCTGCGACGGTCCCGAGACCTCCCTTCCCGAGAGAAGGGTGGTTCCAGGGCCCCGTCGGTGAGCCTGGGCAGCCCCCAAGAGCGGCGGTCTCTGGAATGCTCAGAGGGTTCTGCTTCGTGGGGGGTGGACTCCCACGACCCGGGTGGGGACACAGAGAGGTCCTGCCCTGGGGCGGGGGGGACCGCGCCCGTGCTGGGACTGGGCGGCTCACGTTTGGGGCCCAGAGATTTGGAATCTGTGATAATTGAGCAGTGGAGGCTCTAGAAGCTGAAGATGGGCCTGGCTTCCCCAGCAGGAACGGGGCTGTCTGGGGGCCCGGGAAGAGGCAGAGATCTAGTGGTCGAGAGAAAAGTCGGGTTAAACTATCACCTCCGAGAGTTACGGTGAACACAAAGCCAGGGTCGAGAAGCAGCATGTCACATCTAAGGCACATGTACAGTATGCCACCACCTCTACGCAAAGATGTTGCCTTTGGAGATCGTGAACAAAATGCAGCAATGTGACAGAATGAAGAAACACACCTGCTGTGGCCTCCTCCAGCACGAGCCACCTGCCCACCCCCGGGCACTGGACACTGAAGGTCAGAGTTGTCAGCAATAGAGAGCGTGTCTGAACACATGGGGCAGAATTGTAAGAGCCTACAGGATTTTGTTTAGAACTCCAAAGTTCAACGAATGCCCTATTTTAGGGTGAAAACAATTATAAATCTGAAAATGATGCACAGCATCCATGAGCAGTTTCCCTTTCATAATAATTTTGAAGTAGTGTCATTAACTACGACAGATATCGAAGGTTTACATTTCTAACGAGAAATAACAGCAGATTGAATATTTTCTTTCCTATCACAAGTGATAACCAGTGTTTGATATTTTACATTTTCTTCCAAGAAATATCAGTCTATCAACGTTTTAAAATAAAATGTTTGCAATAACAATTATCTCAGAACTTTAAATTAAAAAATGATTCTGAATTTAGACTTTCAAAAAAGACCTAGGTGTACTTCAGGGTCTTCTGACAAACAAATTATTAAAACAGAGACCAGATGAGGCCTTAAAAATAGACAATATACTATATTTGAAACAAGATTGCACTCTTGAATTTTAGAATATATCAGAATTGCATTATTATTTCATAAATTCTTCTTTTACTTAACATGCTGACATGTCCAGCTATCCCCAGGTGTGCGTGTGTGTGCGTGTGTGTGCGTGTGTTTTCTTTTTTTGGTGTTCAAGTTTCAGGAAGAAAAATCATGGTTCTTTTGTTTAGCATATATGTTTTCCACCTTAATTAACTAGATCTTTAAAAATGAAAATGAAAACCTTCTCTGACAGCAGTATTTATCACGTCAAAGGATAAATAATTCTTCAGAGTGGAGTGTTGCTAGTCTATTAGAAAACATGTCAGGTGTGTCCTCACGCGTGGCTCCTCCCGCCGGCCCGCGGCCACCTTCTGCTGCTTCCTCCGTTCCACAAGGTCCTTTTCTGAGCGCGAGGACCTCGGTGGAGACAGCCGGTTCAAACCCCCCAGAGGAGATGCCTTCTGCTCAATCCACCTCCCCAGTGACCGGTCAGGGGTCGGGCAGATCCGAAGTATCCACTATGACTTTAATAAAAATGGTATCATCTTTAATATATGTCCCGTTTTCTAGCACAGTTTGAGCCACGAACACTGGGCAGCCAGAGGCAATATTCATCTCCCCGGTGGGCTTCTTGAAGCTGCTGCTGTTGGGGTCCGGCTTGAACGCATCTCCCAGGTGACGCCGAGAGGACCCCTGATCCATGAGCATGAGTGTCACTTTCTGCTTGAATGGCCAAGGAAGCAGAGCATCGTACTCTCCGCGCATAATGACAAAAAACAGCGACAAGTGCGTCCCCTTCCCCATGCCGTCCCCGTTCAGGTAGACCCTGGCACACATCTTATAGCCAAAATAGCCCGTGTAGAAAGGCTGGCTGTAAAGAGACAGGGTCTTCCCCATGACGGCTTCCTGCTTCCGCCGCTTGTAATCTCGGATCTTCCAAATCAGCACGCCGTTGTAGCTGGCGGTCTCCAGGACCTGGAAGCGCAGGTCCATGTCGGCCAGGCGGATGTCATGGACGCTCAGCATCTGGTCGTGCCGGCTCAGCTGGGACTCCAGCAAGCCTGCCGTGGGTGAGGAGAGACAGACGGTGGAGGGCCCGTAAGTGTCAGGAAGGCTGGAGGAGCCCGTTCCCGCCAGCACTGGCACTAAACGGAACTGGCTTTTGGGTGGAGGACAAGCACCTGGATGTGTCCTGAAATGTAGGCCTCAGATCCCGGCTGCGCTGCCCCCCACCCGCGGCCACAGCCTGCTGAGTCAACCCTGAGGGACACAGGGCCCATGGGCCTCAGGGCACATTGGTGCAGGTCCCCCCAGGGCACCGTCACGGGGGCAGGGAAAGGCCGCCCTCTTACTCACATCCCCCTGCCTTCCAGCCGGATGCTTGGAGTCACCTGTGCCCTGTGTGGCTTCTGCCCACGTCATTCCTGTCCTCCGCTTAACCCAACGTTTGGGAGGGAGGGCACTGCCATCACCTGAGTACCTCTGCACCATTAATCCTCGTCATGCAAACATTCAGAATATTCACTCAGTCCCCAAAGCAGCTTCTAGGTATCAGGAACACGTTGGCTGAGCAAACCGCAGGGTCATCTGTCCCCTGGGCCTTAACCAGCACGGCCGAGAGCCCCCCAGCCAGCAAGCCCTGCCCCTGCCTGGTGTCCACTGTGCCACCTGGTCTCCTCCCTACCACACTGGTGTCACATGCAGGGTGTGTGTTCTAGGTGGGAAACGTTTCTCTCACAAAGGCAACTCCGGCTGGAAAGTCATCACACCTCTGCACGAATGGCGTCTCACTGGAAATCACTGCTCAAAGGCAGTGTGTGCCTAACGTACCACCCACCCACCAGCTCAAGCCCCAGTGGCCGGGCCGCCAGGCTCCCAGGAAGAGACCAGGACATACACGGCCCACCCCAGGCCCCTCCTAGGCCTCCCCACGCTGCCCCTACAGCCCCCACCTGTGTTCCGAGCCGCCTGCCCTGCACTCTTGTCCACGCTCTCCAGCTCGGTCACTCGGTTCTGGAGGGACTCCACGCTGCTCTTCATGCTGTCTGCTTCTTCCCAGTTCTGCCGGAAGGGGCGGATCTCTTTGTCCAGCTCTTTCAGTTTCTCCGCCTGGCTGTCTATTACTCGCTTCCAGATCAAAGGCATCAGAAAGGCAAAGCACAGTTAGAACTCTCTGAAGTTCTAGAGAAGAGACACCGGCTAGTTAGGTAGAGCAGCCAGTCCAGAGCCGGCCCCATGCCAACTCTCACACGGGCATCTCACAGGTGCCACAGGGTCCTACCCCAGAGGAGGGGACCAAGGCACAGAGAGGCCTCACCCACCAGCCGCAGGGCACGGGGCCCTCACTGCTCTGTCCTACAGTCTCAGGTTCAGGACACTGGAACCACACCCAGCTGCTGTCGGAAGGTCTCCATTTCCTAAAGGGCCAAGTCATCTATAGTGGCCAGACAATGTGGGTCTCCCACAAGGCTGCCTGGCCCAGGGCTGGAGAGGCCACCCTATCCCTGTGGCTGCAGCCACCACCCTGCCACCTGCTCCAGAGAGACCTGGCATCCGCACAGGGCTGGCAGCAGGAAGAGCCCTGATGGCGGGTCTGCAGACCCTGGCTGAAACAGAGAGGCCAATGCCTAGGAGTGGGGCTTGCTTCTCCCATGCACACTGGGCGCAGAAACATAAAGACATGACTGTTGACGGTGAGGCTGAATTTCATGCTATCTTAATTTAAATAATTCAAAAAGCCTTTTCTTTTTTTTCTTTTTTTGCAGAAACATAAAGATCATTGACAACAATAAGCAGAGGGATGAGATTCACACTCTTAACTACGGTGGCCGGCCTGTTTTTTTTAAAGATTTTTTATTTTACTTATTCATAGAGACACAGAGAGAAAGAGAGGCAGAGACACAGGCAGAGGGAGAAGCAGGCTCCATGCAGGGAGCCCGACGTGGGACTCGATCCAGGTCTCCAGGATCACGCCCTGGGCTGCAGGTGGCACTAAACCGCTGCGCCACTGGGGCTGCCCGGCCAACCTGTTTTTAAGGACTGGCACATCCACTTGTTGGATGAAGCTGGGACCTAAAAGATTTTCATTTCTTTTTAAAGATTTTATTCATTTACTTGGTGGGGGAGGGTCAGAAGGAGAAGCAGATTCTCCACTGAGCAGGGAGCCCAATGCTGGGCTCGATCCCAGGGCCCTGGGATCATCACCTGAGCCAAAAGGCAGACACTTAACCGACTGAGCCACCCAGGCGCCCCTGCGTTTTCACTTCTAAAAAGGATTTGCATTTTGTGAAGTAAAGCTCACAAAGGCGGCAGGGTTTGGGCCCCGGTGAAGCTGTGAGGGACTGGGCCGCATCTAAGCAGCAGGGAGACAGGGGAGAGCCCCGGGGCCTACTGAGTTCACTTCTCCTTTCGGAAGCCTATTTTTAAATATTTAGTTTCAGCACCCTTGCTGGCTGTTAATAACCACCAAGGAACAAACATGGTAGGTCTGGGTTACTTTTTTGGGGTAGAAGTACAGTGTTATTCTTCCTCTTCTTTCCAAGAAAACCTGGTATTAGCTAACACTGAAAAAGTAAAAATGATTTCTGTAGAGAACACCTCTTCCCACACTGATGTCACTTTATTTCGATCCATGTGTTTGGAGGCATACTGGATTAGCTCACACAGTCTGTGTTCCAGGGCCTACTGACCTCCCCGAACCCCCAGACCCATACTCTATTTCTGATGAGCATCTGCAGCTCTCACCAGGTACTCTACCCGTTACGACGACAAGGTGAGCCAACACGGACACTGGGGAGTTTAAAAGGCAAGTTAATGAAAACCTATGTCATCGGTGGTGGCTCTCAGAGATGCCATTCGGTAGCCTGGTGGACATCGAGTGAACATGAACTGCACGGTGGCCTGGGACAAGCCAGGCATCACCTCTAAGCTTCACGCCCCTGAGATTAGAGGGGGTGATGCAGAGGTGCCTCCTCTGCAAGACCGGGGATGTGCACGGGGCAGTGGGCATGAAGGCACGTGGCGATCTCAGGAGCAGGGCTGTGGGTGTGCAAGGAGGGCTGCAGGAGGGGCCCTGGGCTCCAGCTCAGTGACAGAGTCAGCACGTGGTGGTGGGGGCAGGAGGGAACACATGTACACAAGTGTGCACACAGACAAGGCTCTAGAAGGAGCCCCCCACACGGCAAGGGAGAATGTAGTAAACAGACCTCTCCTTTGCATCAATGGTAGAGAGTCAAGGCAGGACCCTGATCTCAATCAAACTTTCTCTGTAGAAGGCAGCAAACATGATCTCATTCCTAAAGAGTGGTCTACACTCAGCTGCTGTCCTACTTCTATAAAAATAAATCTTAAATGCAGGTGTAGGATTGCATGAGAAAAAGAATCCTGGAGTGGAGAGACGGTATAGATTGCAGGCTATGGAAATAAATCCCAATCAAAAGATTTGCTGCTAGAACCTCAATTCATCAGTGTCACACACTGTGCACTTGGGGACTTAAACCACCGTCACTCTGTCATTTGCACCGTTTAGGTCACTGGGACCTGTAGAGAACCCTGGGCAAATGAGTCCTGCAGGTGACACGCAGGGGCACGGGCCTGGGCGGAGGCGGGGGGGGGGGGCTTGCACCAGGCCACATGGCGTCAGGGACACAGGGATTAAGCTGACATCTAGGTGGTCTGTTTTCATTAAGAAAAACAGGTTCTTTAAAAAGTAAAATATTAAGAAACTGCCCTTCCTGGGTCAGCAAAAGCAAATACATTCTTAAATTCCACTGCCTTTAGCCAACTCCGATTGCATCCCTATCTACCATGTACATCTGGGGCCCTCAGGAACTCTGCACTCTGTATGTGCTCCCATCATCTCTGGGATTTTAGGATCTACTGGACAAGCAGACAAGGAAGGAGATGACACAGAGGGTACCATGTCTGTCGTCACCGTGGTGGTCTGAGGTATGGGGCTGAGAGAGCACTGAGGAGGGAAGGTGGAGGGGAAGGCAACAGGAAGGGTTTGGGATGAAGGAGGAATAATGAGAGGTGTACACATGAGCCAGGCGCAGGGTGGAGAGGTGGAGAAGGCTCTAGAGGGACTGGAGAGAAGTGCCCTCAGGCAGAGCGTGCTTCACAGACAGCCAATGCCCCCAGGGGTCCAGCCACCGAGGTCTTCCACCCACATTCCCTGAAGACTGACAGCCCAGGCTCTGTCTGTCAGGCTAGCCACACGCTGCCAGCCCCCTAGTGAAGCACCGGTAAGCTGCCACCCGTCATGTGACAATGTCACCCAGATGGAGTCAGTCTACAGAAGCTGCTGTGGGGGACTTAATGAGATCAGGCATTGCACGTCCAGTGTGATCTGAGTACCTCTCTTTCAACATGGTCTGTTTTCCTTCATGCTTTTCTCTCCATGGAGAAGGGCAGCAGCGAAGTCACCGCACTCCTACTTATGACCAGGCAGGGGCACCAACTGTACTCAGCCTCCATTGCTCTGGGCTCCAGCAACAGGGTCTCCCCCTGTCTTTCTGACTTAGATCTCAGCGGTTTATTCAATCATGAAATATAAATCACACATGATAGAATGATTAAATTCTACTAAAAAGTAAAGTAAATTCAAACTTCTCACCCTGGGAGAGGGGGAAGTGGAGAAGATGCATGTAATGACATCAGAGGTTTCAGACAAGTGCCCCAGTGACCTCATTACAGATATCCTAATTTTTCTTCTGTTGTTGATATTTTTAACAGCTGGTTTTCTAGCATAGCTTTGATTTCTGCATCCTTTCTACCCACCTCTCAGCGCCCCAGGATAGCAGCTCTGTTGCTAGTAGCTTGGCCCTGAGGGGGGCCATGTGGGTGCAGCCTCTGGACATCCTGAACAACATTCCCATGGGTCTCTGCAGAACGCCAGAAACTTCCAGCAGGAGGCTTGCTGGTGTTTTATGTGATGTACTTTTTTTGGCCTGATTCAATACCAAAGACTTGTACCTTTTCTAACACAATCTGTTATTTCATTGTGTTTTTCCTCGTCACTGGACAACCTCAAAGTTTTAACACAAATGAAATTAATTTAATAAATCTCTATGCAATTCAAGCCACTATGACTAATCTCTGATGTTAAAAGGGAGGAAAGGCATTCTCAAAGACACCGTGACTCTGAGCTACTGGACTTTTTTTTTTTTTTTTTAATCTTCCAGATAATTTAAGGAAACACATCTAAGTAAAAGCCCTGAAAAGCCATTTTGGAAACTTCAGTGATGCTTCCATGGGTGTGTGACACACGTGGGAATTAGTATAACAGGCACACACTACGAGTAAGCTGATGTGCATATGATACCTACAAGAATAATATACTATTAAGTACCTGTGTTGATAACAGAAATGAGGAACCACATTTTAATCAAGCCCCCTTATACACTTTCTTTTCAGAATAACAAAGGCTTACATGTTTGTTTTGAGGTACATCTGGATCGCTATGGTGAGATAAAGCGGGGCATGTGTGTCACTAGGAAATTCAGAACAAAATAGATTGGCTTCACTTCACTTTAGGAAGTGAAACTTTACACATAACTACTCTTGAACAATATGAAATCTTAAATAATAATAAAAAACAGCTAATTTTTTAAAACACGGGCTGTAAATCTTACTTCACCCACAGTGAATCAAAGGCACAGCAGAGAGGCAATGGTACTTGCTCTCCAAGGAAAGGCGGACAAGACACAGCAGCCCAGGTCTTTCTCAAGTTTCCAATTAAGCAAGAGAAATAAGTCCTTTCTTTGACAAAAGTCATGGTTTTTGCTCAAACAGCTCACTGAGAATACCCAAAAGGAGAACACAGACATGCTCCTCGACCCTTTGATCCAGCAATAGTCTTAAACTTCTTACCTGCAAATGAAGTATTTTGGATTCATTATTTCGAAGCATTTCCTTTTGTCTCTCAATTTCAATTTCAAAGCTACATATCTGATTGTGCAAACTTTGTATGCTCTTGTTTTTTTCTACGCTTTCATTCTGTAGCAAGGAAACCTGGAAAATAAATTCTTCAATTAAGCAAATAAAAAGTGGTTTTATTAGTTAGTAACAATTATATAATGATACTACCTAAATTTTCACAATATAGGCCTTCTACTAGTTCACTGGAAGGAGTTCCAGGGGAAAAAATCCCTTTATACAGGAAATGGAAGTTCTGGTAACTTTTTTTTTTTAAGATTTTATTTATTTATTCATGAGAGACACAGAGAGAGGCAGAGACATAGGCAGAGGGAGAAGCAGGCTCTTCGTAGGGAGCCCGATGCGGGACTCGATCCCAAGACCCTAGGATCACGACCTGAGCCGAAGGCAGATGCTCAACCACTGAGCCACCCAGATGCCCCAGAAGTCCTAGTAACTTAATAGGAAATCCTATACACTGTGTTTCTCAGAATCTCTTCCAGTAATTAAATAAGGTAAGGCAAAGTACAGCAGCTAACTGAATTTCAGAATGAATGGGACACACTTCCTAAAATTTTTGCTGAAAACCAATCAACTTTTTACCAGAGTTGTCTTTCAAACTTCGACCAGGAAACACATCTGCACATCTCACACCCCGTTTGTACAGATGTGTGCATGTGCTTGTGTGTAAGAAGCAGGAACCACAAAACCATCCTTGCCCTAAACATTTCCATGGGTCTGGATCCGTTCTCTTTTATTCTATTTTACTTTAAAAAAAATAGTAGTTGCAATCCACTAAATTATTTTACTTCCACAAGTGGGCCATATCCTATACTTTGAAAAGTTCTCCCAACATAATGAGGAAAGCACAGTGAGAATAAAAAAGCTATGTATGTCTTTGGTTAATCCTTTGGGCCAACAACTGGCTCTTGCAACAGAGACGTGGAGCTGCAGAGTCCATGTGTCTGGCCCGTCGCCAGAAAGGACCTTCCATAAAATTCAACATATCTACCTGCAACACCACATCAGCCCAGGTAAGGGCCTGCTGGGGGAGCAGTTCTAAGCTCACCGTTGGCCTTTTCAAGATTTCTTTCTGGAAAATAATTAGCTTGGCCATGTGCACATCCTACAGGCAGGTCTGCCTTTTCCAAAGTCATGTCTCACTCATTCCCATTTCTCAAGGTGGTCACAATTTCCAGACTCTTTATTCTCACACCCAAAAAAATAGCCTGCATGCATGCCAACCTTTTTATTTTAACGATTTTATTTATTTATTCATGAGAAAGGCAGAGACATAGGCAGAGGAAGAAGCAGGCCCCTCACAGGGAGCCTGATGCAAGACTCGACCCAGGAACCCCAGGATCACACCCTGAGCCAAAGGCAGATGCTCAATCACTGAGCCACCCAGGTCCCCATGCCAACCTTTTTGATAAAAAATCTCGGTAATATCTCCAAAAAACATGCCAATTTTTCTTCTGCAAAAACCAAGCAACCTGAGGGTGAGCAGAAGCATCTCACATTAATGAACATGTCACCATATTAAACTCTTAATTTCTTAATTTAGGGACCCCCTATTTTAAATTTTTAAATACTTATTTTAATCAAAGAATCCAACTCCCAGGCACCTGCAGAGCCCTGCTTTCACCTATCAGGTAGACATGACATGCATGGGAAAATCTTCCTGGCAGGCGTGTTTCCAAGAAGCACAGCAGAACACTCCCATAGCAGAGGAAACAGGGAGTCCTCTCGTCCTTCCCTAAGGTCCTCTTCACTGAGAACAACATTTACTCCAGCCTATTTTGGTGGGGCACTCCACATTTCCCTTTAAACTTTTCCCATACAGAAGACAAGTATTTTTAAGTCCACATCTTACAAAACAGTTTTTCCTTAATTTGACATGATGGATTAGAGTTTTTGAACCAACGCAAACATTCCATTTTCCACTACACATGAACAAAATAACCTAAGATATTCCAACTGAGTAATTGTGTAATGAGAAATAAATTCCCATTTTAAGAAAAGACAAGTATCTCCATTCTTTGTCTAGTCTTTGCCTCTGGGCCCAAAGAAGAGACAGGTGTTTTCCGGTGAACACAAACAATGGTGCACGCAGAGGCTCTGTCCCAGCATTTCCAAAGACAGAAACCATTCACTTGGAGTGGAGCAAACATGAGGAAGTGGGGGCTGGGAGAAGACCATACCTCTTCATGCACTAATGGAGTCTCAGCTCGGGGAGCAGACTTGGCAATGACACTTTCTACGATTGTCTCACTAGACAGCCACACACCTCAGAACCACAAACTGTTAGCTAACTAGTACAGCTGGAACAGAACCAATGCATTATAAATAAAAGAAAGGACTTTTAAGTAAGTGAGAAACGGAGTATCAAGGAGAGCCCTGACATCTATGTCGTTAATTTTTAAAAAGCAGAAACAGAACACATTCTTCAGAAGGGAAAAAAAAAGACAACTCAGTCACAAATGACTCTTGTAACACAAATCTCATTTCCCTGTTAAACAGGACCCTTCTTCTACCACACTTGTGTGTGTACATGTGACAAACCAACCCTGTGTCACATCTCATCTTCAGCATAAACATGTGTATTAACAAACTATGTCAGAGTTAATAAAAGTATTGTGATTAAGAATTTTAGACTCTTTCAAATATACTCACATTTTAAATTGGTTGGATTTAATACTGGAAACAAGGTATTCAAATCTCTAGAAAATAAACATCAATTCCACTGGCTGCTCTAATTCTTTTTGGTACCCTCTACGGCAAATTCTCCATAAATATTTCTTGAATATTTTTTTTCCTTTGCTGTGAATTTTATTTTTTATTTATTTTTTTAAATTTATTTTATTTTATTTTTTTTATTTATGACAGGCACAGAGAGAGAGAGAGAGAGAGAGAGAGAGAGAGAGAGAGAGAGAGAGGCAGAGACATAGGCAGAGGGAGAAGCAGGCTCCATGCACCGGGAGCCCGACGTGGGATTTTATCCTGGGTCTCCAGGATCACGCCCTGGGCCAAAGGCAGGTGCCAAACCGCTGTGCCCCCCAGGGATCCCATATTTCTTGAATATTGAGTTAAGTTTTTACTTCTGTATAGAAGCCACAATGAAAGATCCTGTAGCAACTGCTTCCCTATCAATTCTTGGAGGTTTTCATCCTTTCCTCATGAACAGAGGGCCCAGGCCCGGCCCAGTTGAACACCATGGAATGAGACGAGAAGAAGTATGACATTAGGAAGGCACCTGCGAAGGAGCCTAGCTGGAGAACAAGTGCTCCCTGCATCAAATTTCCACAAAGTGTCAGGTGAGAGAGTCAATAATAAAACTATTGGTGGGGCAAAGTCTTTTCCCAGCTGTCTCTCAGAAAAGACAAAGAATGGTGAAGCATTTAACACTGGTAACCTTCTAGATTGGGTATTGGCAGATTTTTTTCTGCAAAGAGCCAAAGAGTAAATTTTTTTTTTTTTCAAAGAGTAAATGTTTTGGGCTGTGAGGTCTGTACAGTTTCTGTCTCAATTCCTAAACTCTGCAAAAGCAGCCATGGACAAAAGGGAAATGAATGAGCATGGCTGCATTCCAATAAAACTTTATGTACAAAAAGACGAAGCTGATGGGGAGAGAATGGGAGGTTTGGAAGTTTGACAATGCCTATTCGAGGTCAATGCTAAGGTAACCATAAAAGGCACTGCATGCTTGCTTGGTAATTAACAAACAAAACACACACACACACACACACACACACACACACACACACCTTCATTTATAAGCTCAAGGTCATGTGAAAAGAAATTTACTTTTTTGACATTCTCTTGATACTGTTTCTTTTATCCAAATCCACTAGTAACTATAAAAAATATTTTCTACTTTAAATAATTTGAAGAAATTATTAAGAGCCAACAAAAGCAGGAAGCAGCATGGTGTACCTTTTTCTCCAGGGAGTTACTCCACTCTTTCAGTAAGTTGACGTGCTGCACTGCGGAGCTGGCCTCATGGGCCTTTATCTGCTGGTTTGTCCCCTGCGAGAAGAGATGTAGTGCATTAAGCTGACCTCATTCCATTACAGAGCATAGTAAGACTAACACATGACCTAAAACCAGCAATAAACACGAAGAGGGGAGCCCTATTCCTTAAAGCTAGTAGGTGGTCTCCAAGCCTTCGGAGGGCCATGCTCAGTGGCCCCTACTCTACTGAGTGCAGGTGGGGAGAGGCTGGCAAGAAGAGCAGACATCCTGCAATTATACAGCAACCTCAAGTCCATGCTCTTCGCTCTTCAAGCTTCTTACCAAGCTCCTTCTCATCTGCGTTTTGTATTTGTAAAATCAAGAAATTAAATCTTCAACCTCTCACTTTGGTTCCTATATAACCTTTTTCATTAAAAACACAAATGGAAAATGTTTAGACACCTGCAGTTACAGCTAGACACTGCTACAAATAATCTAGTAAACATGTAATCAAAGTGGGATTCTAAATAATTTATTAGAATATCAACTTATTAAGGAAATTCACTGTGTTAGAAAATGTATTACTCCTCACTATTCTAAGTATACTTGGAAAGTTACATACAAAACATAAACAATCTACAGAGTACATAAGATGGAGACCATTTTAGAGTCAGTAATAAGCACATGAAATAGTACTTCCTATATTTAAGGAAATAATCGGCATGAAAATATAATTTGTTCTGATATTAGAAAATTAAGAAGCCACAGAAAGCATTTTAATGATCTCCAAAACATATACTCTGTACATAGAATATTCATATATATATATGTTGATATAAGTATTGCTATATATAAACATATATATATATACATACACAGAATGAATGGTACTACATACGACATAACAGTGGTGAGTGCTCCATCTCATTAAGAGACGGAGACAATGGGAGAGCTACAGTCGTTCTTACTCTGAGGGCTATTTACTTTCTAAGAAAATACTGAGATGCCAGTATCTCTGTACTGATTTCATAATAATGTACTGATAATACACAAAATTAAATATAAAATATTTTAATTGTAATATATACTGCCCTTCAGCAGTTTTAAGATCGAGATATATATTTCAATGAAACTCAGTTCAAATTCACTAGCAATCTCAGACGTGTTAAAAAAAAAAAAAAAAAAAAGAACAAACCAAAAATCCCCCAGAAACAGGTTTCTCACAGCACAAGTGTGGTGGTGATGGAGACACCCTCTCCACACGGCTGTCCTGGGAGGGGTAGCATATATACTCTGAAATGCGTTTACAGACACACGAGTGCCATCCTCACAACTGTGCACTGACATGCACACTGCTCCAACTACGTCTGGTTTGACACCCACTTATATTCAGGTCCCGGCTAACGTTCCATAACAATCTCTCTAGAAAACCCCCCATAGCTGTCAGTCCTGTTTGCCCCATTTTCTAGCTGGTTTTAGATGTAGCTATTCCCGGGCCTCCTGACTTCCTCCTCAGCTCAGGTGTCCACCTGAAGTCTCAGAACACCCCTGGCATGGAAAGCGAGCACCCACATCTGCTGCATGTGGCTTCTGCCACCCATGCAACATGGTGACTCGGTTCCATGATAAAGACTACAAGTCCAGAACTTGCATGTTAAGATGTTAAGATAGTAACTTTCTCTCATGGCAGAATGTCAGTGACTGGGAAGGACAAATGTTGGATACTGACCTGAAAAACGCAGCCATAGCGCTTAAAACTACAGGTGCTGGGGGCATTGACACACTCTGACAAGTGTGCACTCAACTGCAACGGGAAAGAGACGTGAGTTGTGGCACAAGCGTCTGCATGAAAATGTTCAAACATATTAAGGGCACAGAGAGCATCTGGTTTGTACTGTCACGAAGGGGGCTTATCAGCTACAGGTGTGTTTATACCATCTGCTTCCTAGACTTACAGGCAGTAAATATACACTACTGTCACGTGTATACACATATATACGCCAATATACAGAAATACAGTTACTGTAACATTTCTTAAACCTGCAGTTTCTTTAGAACAAATTGTTCAAAATGTGACATGCCGTCTGCAGCGCCAGAATTTTAAAAAGAAAGGGAAAAAAACGTAAACTGAAATGAACACTTAAAGACTATAAACAAAAATTGCATGAAACACAAAAAAGAGAAAGCATTCAGGATGTAACTGGGTCACACACCTACTATACAGTACACAAAAATAAAGATATTTTCAAAGCAAGCTTACACGATGTACCATTACTCTCAATACTCAAGATAACGAGATGAGTTTTTTCCTTCTTCTGAAAAGACTTTTTTTTCCCTCTGAGTGGCCATAAATTCATGTAGCTTCTCACAGATCGCTAAGGTCATTCTAACAACATGAATCTTAATATTATCACCTCTAATTGGTAGAAGAAAATTAGGAGAGACTGGGAGAGGATAACTCATCGTACAAGGAAAAATGCCTTTGTTCAGCTTAAATCCTGGCAAATCGTCAAATAAAAACCACTTATGATGCCCCCTCAAGAGAAAAGGGAATTGAAGTGTCTACATTTTAAAGACATAGTGCTATTCATCAGGCTAATACAATTTAAAAAGAGCTTCTTCTTTTACTGAATAAATTCTCATCAGGAAATTCTAGGGATAGATCTTTATAGAAAACAATTAGACCCCGAACCAGGAAAGGGGGTGTCTGAGCGCCCTGTCCCCCTCCCAAAGGCTCATGGGCTTGTCCTCTTACAGCTCTACCTTGGCTCCCAGGACAAAGGGTCCTTGAGTCCTTTTCCTTTAGGTCAGCATTTAGGACAGAGAGGAAGGTGGGTCACAGGACTGCTCTTTTGTCCTGTGGCAAGAGTTGCAGAGGAGGGCCAATGTCCTGGGGAGCCTATGCGCCAACCTTTGTGGAAGGTCTCTGGGCCTGGGCAGCATCGTGGTGGTTACAGATCTAGCAGTCTAGTACACTTGACGTTCCTCTGAAACCAGCCAGGAAGCTCTGGCCTCTACCCGGTAGATTACCGGTGAATGGCAGAGAAAAGTAGCATGAGAATGTGTGTAGTTATGTCCACTTCAAAGTTTTAAAATATATTCTCTCAGTGCCACTGGTATAATCATGACCCTCCAGCAAGCACTTCTAGCATTAAAGTCAGGGACACTGGAGTCTGATGTCACTTTCAGTGTGTCACTATAAATTCAGGGTCACACTTTTTCCTAAATTGGTTCATTATCATTACTCTTAGAGCCTTTACTGTCATTCCTTACAGGAGAGAACCTTTGGAACAGAGGAAAGAATAAGCTACAGACCAGTAGTATCGTTCACTAGAAACCCAAGAGAAACCCAAGATAAATGCATGTTTAAAGATTTTTAAAAGAAAAATAACTTAGAGGCAAATGGAGCTAGCTTTTGTCCCTAATTCAGGTAGCCCTGAAAGAGTGAAAATTTTGAAAAGGGTATAAAACCCTGGTAATCACTTCAACACTACAGACTCTTCATCCAGAGGGACTTTCTGGTTGTGGAAATCTGTATGCATTTCCTTGCCCACTCCTAGGGGCACATTCTAGGCCTAGAGACCTCTGCCACCAGGCAAGACCCTGCCCTTGCTGAGCAGAGTCATCTTCTGGGTAGGACACATTCTGGCTGAGAGTGGCTCTGGGGAGGGGGTGGGGTCCTCCCTGTACCCTGTGTCCCTGGTTCCAGGCCTACATAGGTCCTCTTGCTCAGTGGCAATGTGAGAGACCAAGCCTCACCTCCCCAATATCCAGTGGCAAAATTCCAGGCTGCTGAAAAAGGCTGAGGTGAGCAGCCTCCTCAGATCAGAGCACCCAGGTCTAAGGGACCTGCTGGGGGACCAGGAGGCACAGGCATGCACTGAGCCCACAGGTGCCCAGATGCTCCTGAAACAGCAACCAAAGGGACTCCAGGTCAGAACCAGATGCAAAAACATTTAAGAATCCTTGGAATTTTTCCAACTGGATATATCCTGATCGAATTAAGTTACTGTAAAATCTACCTGCCTTAAAAGAAAGCATGCCCAAGGGCAGCGTGAAACACACGGCCTCTGGGGGAGGCTCCTTAGGGATGTGGGACCCACCTCTGGGCCCAGCTGCTCCCCAGCATCAAACCTGCACAGTGCATGTGGCCAATTCTGCAATGTCAGTAAAACCATTTATTTTGAGATAATCTTACAGTAATTCCTATTTTACAGATTTAAAAATAGCTTTTTTTAAGAACCTAAAGTTATTACCTTTGCTTGTAAAGTAATTCCATTTTCTCAGTTCTTAACAGTATTTTGCTCTGAATGTAAGCACGTTGTAGCTTTTATTTGCTTGCTTCTGAAATTTCTGATGCCCCACAATAGCATGAGGTTTTTTTATTGTTTCTCTAGCATACTTATCACTACCATGATCTGTTGAGAACCTTCTACTTCAGCTACTGGGGAAGGACGGAGTCTCTGGCATGCTAGTCCTAAAGACATCACTAACTGGCCCTGGCAATGCTCCTTACCTCACTCCTTAGAAGGGTCTGGACACTGCACTTATGGGGGCAGGACACCACCACACAGGGACACTCAGTGTCTTCATGTTTCTGGAGGAAAAGAAGAAAGTGTCAACTTTGGGACATAAAACCCATCTCCCTTCAGGCTCTATCAGTATCTTCAATGTCACCACGAAGACCCAAAGGACACTGCTCACTGTCCCTGTTTCCTTGAGTTCTGACACATTTGAAGGAGTCCTCATGCTCAAAGTGTGAGAGCCAAAAAGTAAGGTGTCTCAGGAAATCGACTCAAATCTGACAGGTGAGGGCAACCCTGTGAGAGCACAGACCCTGGAGGTGGGGTCACCACAGCAGCCTCCACCAGGGAGCACCCCACTGTGCTCACGCTGCCTAGACACGAGAGGACAGGCAGACTTGGCCTTTGCTGCCACTCACACCATACCCCAGTGTCCAGCCTTTGTTCACTGGAGAGTAGGATGGTTTTCCTTTGGTCTCTAAGTTCAGGGTCTGGAAATGATGCTTCTTTAATACCTGCAAATGGCATGATCCACTGGGTATTTAAATTATTGCCCTGAAATCTTACCTAGATTATCTATAATGCATGGAAAATATGGACAAATTTTGGTTTAGCTCTTTTCTGCGTGGTATAAATTTTAACCTTACAGAGGCTGGATGATAATAACTGCTCAACCCATGTCATGGGCACCTGCTGAGCATCTGTTCAGTAGCAAAGTTAAGGCAAGAGCTGCCCATCAAATCCAAGAGCCCCAGAGAGCACCACCAGACACATGACAAAGGGCTGCTGGAGAGAGAGTAATACAGGCAGAATCAGAGCCACACCACAGAACCCGTGGGACAGGTTCCTGGAGGCCGCATCACCAAGTGAGAAGGAAATTTGGTGCTGTTTTCCTCGTGAGCCTGGGATACTTGAGATTCTCCTCATCTGGTTCTTCAGGTTAGGGCCTCCACAGTCATGCTGCTGTGCAGTTGGCAGCAGGCAGGGGGGCGGTGGGGGCACAGCCAAGAGCCTCAGTCTGACTAGGCAGGCACAGTGCAGACCCAGGGCAATGGTGGCCCAGGTGAGGCGCCAGGAACCACACTCAGCTTTCTTCAGTGTGTTCTGACATCCAGTGTCTCTGTAAGTGTGCAGTGGTACAGTCTGCAGTGCAGAGATAGCACCTACGGTGTGCGCGGCTGCTCTGCTCTTGGGCTTGAGCCTCGGAGGCCCACAGAGCCCCCACAGGATGAGTCACGACTGCTCAAAGCTCAGTACAAAGCACCTGACTGGACTGAGCCTGACCAGCAGGCCTCCCACAAGACGCACCACAAGTGGGGCAGAGGGGCGGGGGGGGACACTGGCTTTCTCTTCTGCCTGGCTGTGCTCAGAATCCCTGAGAGTTCCCAAGTGCCACCAAGTCAAGGCTCTGTCCCTTAGTGAAAAACCCTGGGCAAATGGCTCCACCTCCCTGCCTCATCTATGAGTGGGAGGAGAGACCAGACTTCCCTCATAGGGGAGGCCCCATCAGTCATGGGCCCAGAGAGGTAACATGGCAAACATTCCACAGATGCCAGCCTCCTCCCTGAACCCACCCTTGATCCCACTTCCATGCCCCAGCCCATGCATGTGCCAGGTGCTACAGTCGGCTCAAGAGGGACAGCTCACACACAGGTCATCATCACTTCAACAAGGGAAGACCTGGAAGGAACACGGGGTGAGACGGCACAGAGAAGACAGCTCTAAGGAGGATGTGGCAGTGGGTGGGGCAGTGTGTTCCAGGAGAGTAGGGGGTGGTGGGAGAGGCTGGGATCAGACCCATCAGTATCCTCAAATGCATGTCTCTGGAGATCTGTGCAAGCATATCTGAACAATAAATTGCTAGAAGCAGGCTTTGTTGGGTATCAAAGAGTATAGGTACTGTAAATGGATTTTGATAGATATTGCCAAACTAGTCTCCAATAACCTTACACAAACGCACGCTCATCATCACAGGAACACATGTTCCTACACCCTTGTCAATTCCATCAGACTTTTCTATCTTTGACAACATGACAGGTGGAAAAGGCAATGAGTGTGACTTGCAATTATTTGATAATGTGTGGGTAAGTATATTTTTGATATTTATTAATCATTTATAGTTCTTGTGAACTGCCTTTTCACAGCTTTTGTCCACAGTAGTGGGTTGAAGAGTGACCCCCAAAATTCATGTCTCTCCAGAACCTCAGAATATGACTTTATTTGGAAATCAGGTCTTTGCAGATATAATCAGTGAAGATGGGGCCCCAGTGGCTTGGGATTAGGGTGGGCCCTGAATCACATCATGGATGCCCTCACGAGAGGCGAGGACATGCCCCTGAAGAAGGGATCTGAGCAGAGAGGCAGATGGCTCCCAGTCAAGAACTGCCAAGGACAGTAGCGACTCCAGAAGCTAGAAGGGGCAGGGAGGGGACTTTCCTGGAGCCCTCACAGGGAGCACAGCCCCAACACAAGACCTTGGTTTTGTATTTCCAGCCTCCAGAACTATAAGAGAGTAACTTCCTGTTTTTCTAAGCCACCTTTGTGGTACTTTGTTCCAGCAGCCCCGGGAAAATGTTTCCTTTCCCAGGAAAATAACACGCCCATTTAAAAAACTATAACCTACTGATACATAAAACTCTCTCTGTGCTAAAAAATTAGCCCTATCTCACATTAAACATCACTCTGATAGTCCCAGAACAGATGTAACCCATGTGCAAGTCAGAGAGTATAACTACATGGAGGATAGCCACCAAGGACAAGAACTCCCCATTTACCTGTGTGTAATCTCCCATCTTGCCCCACTTTCCTCCAGGGAAGAATCCCTAAACCAAAATCCTAATTTTGTGTTGCTACTTCTTTGTTACACTTAAATGTGGGCCAAATACTGTATTGATTGCTTTTGAAATTTACTAAAATGGAACTCCACCCTATGGGTCTTCTGAGATCCAGCTTAGTACCATGCCTCAGGCTAACGCTCCTGTCGAGGGTAGTTGAGGGTCCTCAATCTGCACTGCTGTAGTGACACTGCCCTGTCATTCCCCTGCCATGTCACTACAGCATGTGTGTGTATACTCATGACTGATGTGTCCACCAAAATGGATGTGTCCCCTCTCCAGCTTAAGGATGTGGGGGTTGTCTCTAGAGTTATGCTGGGCCCTATCTCCTGGTGTGTGTATATGTAACAGTTTCTCCTGCATAGGGAGGAGAGGGATTGCTCACTAGCTGAGTACAGGAATAGTCAACCCAATAAAATATTGCCAAATTGTCTTCCACAGTGGCTATGCCTATCCATACTCCTATAAGACAGCCATTTTCCCAGAAAATGAGATCTTTAGAATTCTGATTTTCCACAAATTAACAAAACTGTTTAAGGAGACCATATTCAACAGCTCCAAGACTAAATGTGAAAGAGGGGATTCTCTCCTGGCACTTTAAATTATGCTGATCTATAGATTAAGAGAAAACAACAGGGGATCCCTGAGTGGCTCAGTGGTTTAGCACCTGCCTTTGACCCAGGACGTGATCCTGGGGACCCGGGATCAAGTCCCACATCAGGGACCCTGCATCAGGGTCCCTGCATCAGGACCCCTGCAGGGTCCCAGGCCTGCTTCTCCCTCCCTCTGCCTGTGTCTCTCTCTCTCATAAATAAATAAAATCTTAATAAAAAAAAAGAAAAGAGAAAACAACTTAAAAACAGCTGATGTAGGGTCAATAGCATGGTTTAATGGTAGAAAAGAAATTCTCATACGAGCTGCAATGGGCCAGGGCTTCGATACTTTATTAATCTGGAGCTCATCAACACTCGATGTACTAGACACCCTTCATAAAACACAGGAAATGTGGGGATGTCAGGGTGACCTGGGGCTGTAGATATGCCTCTGAGATGGCTGTTCTTTCTAAAAATAAGCCCATGGCAGGATAGGACAAGATGAAGAAGCATGCTCCTAGCTGACAGGAGGAGACCTGGGAACCCAATCCCAGGCTCCAACAGGACAGGAGCCCTTCTGGTACGTAGCTGCCCTGCAGTTGTCAGGGAGGGGGTTACCAGGGTGACTGAGGACAGGCGAGCCCTTATGTTGTTACTTTTTTTTTTTTTTTAAGATTTTATTTATGAATACATGAGACACACACACACACAGAGGCCGAGACACAGGCAGAGGGAGAAGCAGGCCCCATGCAGGGAGCCCGACACCGGACTCCATTCTGGGTCTCCAGGATCACGCCCTGGGCTGAAGGCGGAGCTAAACTGCTGAGCCACCAGGGCTGCCCATGTTGTTACTTTAAAGCCAGTTTTTTACAGCTCAGTCTGGAGTACAGAGTTAGTTACTTATATAGTGTCTAACTGATGTAGTAGCCTACAATTCTTTCTTGGATGAAATTAATTATATATTGCAAATAAAGATAACTGATTTTTGCAAGAAGCAAAGTATGACTTTGATAGCAACATACCAACATGTGTAGGGTCTGGAGTATTGCTCATTAAGTATCTGTCTCATTCATTTGAACTGAGTTACTGAAGGAATTATTCAATTAGGCCAAACACTATCCCCACTTTCCACAATTCTTTAAAGTCCTTAATAACTAGAAATGTCTACAGAAACCATACAGGAAAAAGACTTCACAAGAAAATAGCCACAAGAAAATTGCAGAGTAAGGTAAACATGCAGATTATGAAGTAGAATACATTTCATTTCATACAGAAAAACAAAAACTTTCCCTAAATTCTGGTCAATAACCACTATAGAATTTCCACCAGGAACCAACTGGGCCCGCACATCCTGGCTGCACGTCTCTGGTCCTCTCCCGTCTGGTCCCATCAGTTGTGGTCCTGCCAAGTCCAGAGGTTATTCCCAGCACACCCCTCCGAAATGTCTGTCCCTCCTGCCCATCCCCACACTCCCCAGCTCTCTTTGCCTCTGGGGCACCATTCTGCTGCCCCTTCCATACTGGCCACTCCTTTGCTAGATGACCTTCCCTCTTAGCAGTCTGTAAGCATTCCTGTGTCCCAGGCCTCTGTTCCTAAGGCTTCAGGGACCACCTTATTAAGACACACCAAAAGTCCAGACCACTGCCCTATTCTCCTCTCAAGCCTGCTAAGTTCCACGGAGCCTCACCTCAATAAAACACTCAGATTCACCCAGGTGCTCTAGTTACAGACGCTGGGCATCATCCTTAACACATACTCCATATTCAAGCCATGAGCTAATCCCACTGCCTCTACCTTCTGAATGTGTCCCAGTGCACTTGTTCCTCCTCTCCCTTCCTGCACAGGCCAATACTGTGCCTTGCCTCCATGTTTTCTTTTCCTCTCACCCCACATCTACCTGTCACACCTGTCAGAGTACTGCACATCCTGGGGAACTCTGACATTACCCTCTTGCTCAGGCTACCCGGTGCCTGCCCCACCCTCTCATCTGCTACCCATCATCTCTGCACTAGGCATGGGAGCCACTCTGGCCTCTCACAGCTCCTGAAATCCACCTGCTATCAGTTCCATCTCAGAGCCTGCACACCCATGCTGTTCTCTCCTCCCACACTGGCCCCTGACTGCCCTGGAGAGGCCAGCTCTGATTATCCCTTTCCCCATGATGCTAGTGCATTTTTCTTCATAGTACAAATCACTACCACACATTATGTTTGCCTATTAATTACCTCTTCCACTAGAAGGTGAGCTCCACCACTGAACTACCAGCTCCCATAGCAGTGCCCAACACGCAGTAGGTACTCAGTGAATATTTGTTCAAGGAATGGACAAATATTTGAAGGTTACTGTATTACTGATAGCCTTTCACCCCTAACATCTCTCTCTCTAATTAATGGATAAAGAATCTGATTTCTAACACATGTGCAATATAGAACTGTGCCAAAATAATCAAGGTATGAAAAATGCTGAATTCTCATCTCTCTCCAAGACAGACAGCTGCACTTTGATGCTGCAGGATGAATTACCCTGGTGAAGGGATGATTATGTCCCAGAGCTGCTTAAAAGATTAAGCAATCCAGTAAGATTTTGAAGACATTCTTTGGGACAAGAGAAAAATTCTACCTTTTTTGATAATTAGTCTTCATTTTTTTGGCATCCCAAATGATAGTCAATCAAGGCAATGGGAAAATGTTAATTATACAAATCAAAATGGGCAAAACAAATAAAGCTTAACTCTGAATTAAAGTCAGATGAAAACTGCCATTTCCTCTTCTCTTTTCTCTTTATTCCTGTTAGAATGGTTGAAAATGCTATTCTGTAACAAATTACACCTGGACTGAGCAGCAAGTAGGGGTGACCAGGGCAGGGGGGGGGCAGCGCACCTGCAGTGTGATCATCGGGACCTGACTTTTACAGTGGGGGCATGTGGCCTCTCGGTACTTGCAAGCCTTTTCTACGTGGTCACGCAGGTCTCTTCGCAACACTTTTTCTTTGCAGTCAGCACGGACACACGAAAGCTCTTCAAACTGGCAATCATTCTTTAAATGCACCTGTAAAACAAACACTTCAAAGCTCTCAATTGGCAAAGACACTCAATCTAAAATACCAGATTCTAGCCTCGACACAGCTAACTCCTTCAGAAATGTTTTCTGCCCACTGCTAGACCAGTTTTTCACAGAGAAGAGTGACAAGTGTATCGAGAGACAATGAATTTTGTATCCTTTTAGTGATTACTCAAACTATATTGCTTTTGAAGGAGTAAGACATTCTCCCTTCCTGGGTAAATAAATGGTTAGTTATCTGCTAAGGACTTTGTTTTATTCCAGCTCAAGTATGCCTTCCAGGATAAAATAAGATGCTAATAAAAAAAAAAAAAACCCACATAAAAAGTTATGTGGGATTTCATGGTTAGAGAGGGAGAAAGTTTTAACAAGCCTTCCAAAATTAAAAACCAGTTCAGATTTCTTTCCATTCTAAGTAGGGTGGGGGTGTTTAAAAACCAGTTTGCAATTTTGCCAATGATGTCATAAAAATAACATTTCGTACCTAAGTGGCTTGGACTGCTTGCATATTTGGTTGTTTTGAAAATCAACGTAACTGTGGCCTTAGGGTGCCTCATCATACTGATCAGGGAGTTACATTTCTTTTTTTATTTTAAAAAAAGATTTATTTATTTGAGACTGAGAGAGCGCGCGTGAGCTGGGGGAGGGGCAGAGAGGGAGAAAATCTCAAGCAGACTCCCTGCTGAGAGCAGATCCTGACACAGGGCTCAATCCCACAACCCTATGATCACAACCTGAACTGAAATCAAGAGTCACGCTAAACTGACTAAGCCACCCAGGCACCCCAAGGAGTCGTATTCTTACGGTAAGCAAGGAGCATGGTCCCCAGGACATACCAGTAGGTGTCCCAGTGTCAACTGCTCTGTGCAGCCTCCACCTTCATTCCTGCAATAGATCTGAAGAGCTAGAATTTCTCTCTTGCAGCAATTATCCTTAAACACCTGAAATGGGAAGACAGTTATTTCAGAGGATTAATGTTTCTTAATCTCCACATGCTACTACTTCAGACAAGGCAAAACCACTTTAAAAAAATCATGAGAGCATCTCTTAAGTGGACCTCAGAAAGCATTAAGGACCATCTTAATTTCTAATTTCTAAGTAGCATGAAGGAGCTGTCCCTACTAAGAGACACATTTAAATAATACAACCTTAACTACCACCTTTTATTAGATAAGTCAAATGAAAACAAGCTATATCAAATAATTAAAGATCACTTTTGAACATCCAGATACTCATAATTAACTCTGACATAATCTCAAGGTGGGGATGCACCAGAAGCAGGTTCATACGTGGACTCTGGACCCTTCCAAGAGCCAGCTCTGTGGGGGTGGCCAGGAGTGGAAAATGCTTACCAAGGGATGAGTTCGTAACTCAATGCCACTACAACTTAATGCCTCTTTAGGTCACTTGCTAAAGAAAGAGCAAAACTACTGTAAAAGACTGAATCCTGCAGATGGCTTATAATACATTTGTTTCGGTTCTTTTTCCTAAGGTGATGTCCCTTATAACCCATTTTTCACCAAAAAGGAGACAGTATTATCCTGCTACTAAACAAAACAAAACAAAACAAAACAAAAACCCCCACCTCTCTTAAATAAATATTCCAAAGACTGAAGTTAGTCCAATAATGAAAATGTTTCCCTTAAAAATGAAAACCTTCCTTTAATTGTATTTTTCCTTAGAAAACAAGCAGATTCACTCCTTCTAGCAATACAGTCTCAAACATCTTTGTCTTCAGGCATTTCTAAGAAACTCCTATATGTTAACACTCCATACAGTGGAAAAATAGATAGGATCTTAATATGCCTTTCTCAACTCCAAAGGCAAAGAAATAGAATCAACAGCTGTTAAGAGTTAAAAATAAAGTAATTTGGAGTCAAATCTAATCCTTCATAAACAAGACTTTTTAAAAACACACTAAGGTCGCCAAACAGGTATTTTTAGCCAATAGGAAATATGCTTCCTTTTTGTGGCATTAAATTTCTTAAGTCATTTGAGTTTAACTTTATGGATACAAAACAAAGATTGGAAATGTCACAAGTACAGAATTTTAGAGCTGAGAGTATTTACTGCAACTGTCCCATTGCATAGATGAGGAGCCTGGTGCCCCAAGGTGACCTGCAGAGGGCAGATCTCCATCTCAAAGCCCCATCTTCCCATGAGGATCCAAGGCATTGGTCAATGTCATTTATGATGCTCCAATAAAACAAGTAATTTCTTCAGTTAGCAATGCCATTGAAAAGTAGGGGTAATAATTCTGAACAATGAAACAGACAAAGTCTGTTGTTTCAACATCTACCACAATCACATCTGTCAGACACATTTTAACAAGTTAGTGGCCATGCAACTAAGGGGTAGTTGGGTGACTAGTTTTCTTAAAGACAACCCCCCCCCTTTTAATTACTGCAGTCTGTAGCAGCAGGCAAACACTGAGGAAGACAAGGTACATGGACATGTTGCCAGTTCTGTCTCTAAACTGCCCAGAGGAGTTACAGTAGGTGCCCTTATTCTGGCAGAGGAGCGGCTCCTACTGCCTGGATCCTCAAATCACTGCACTCACCTGGGCTGCCCTGATGACAAACCCAATCTGCAAAGTGCTCTGGACACAAAACCCCAGAGTAAGAATTTTGTTGTACAATTTAATGACCTACATTTAAAAAATTGTCAGGTTCATCAATCAAAATATTGGTACTGCACATTTTTATTGATATTTTAAGTACTTTAAGAATGAGTCATTTCAAACTAAAAGCGTGCCTAGCAGGGTTTAGCAATATGTAGATGACCAGAGGTGCTGTGGTGGTGGTGGGGGGGATCAGAGCCCCAGGAGGGAAGCAGGTGGGTGGCCCCCCTGAACCCCTCCGAGAGTCCTCACTGACAGAGAGCTTTCACTGGTACACATAATCACATGGCGGGGGGAAGGGTGGAAATCCAATATCCCTCTAATGACTAGGAGATGGTGCACACGAGGCAGGCAGACAGCAAATCCCATTGAACTCCTGAGACCAGCAGGCTCTAAGAGCCAAATCCCAGCTGTCTGGGGGAAGGGCTTCAGAGGACTGTGTGAATCTCCCCACTTCACCTATTCAGTCCCTGCAACCCCCCTGTATCTCCTGGGGTCTCGGGAAGTGGTTCCACTACCGTCACAGGCAAGGACACAGGCTCAGAGAGTAAAGGAAGCACACCTGGCCAAGGTCACCCAGCTGGGCAGCTGTTCCACCTTGACCTTGCAGCACCTGCTGTCCAGCCCCGAGATACCATCAGAGCCGGCTCAGAGCACTGGGTGCAAACCGTGTGCCACGGATGACTGAAGCATTGGACAAGGTCATTTATTAAAACCCCAAGAATACCTTATCTTTAATGATGCTTTCTTGACACGCAGTGCATTTTGGGCTTGAGGAGCTGAGGGGAAAATAAACAATAAAGACATCAGTAAGTGAGGTTCTACTGACAGCAGAAGTCCTGTGTTCACTGGAGCTGCGGCCACGCCTGTGTGAAGCGCACAGCAGCAAGCCGAGCTCCAGGATGCCATGGTGAACGGGCTTCCAACATGAAGCCACAGGAGAAAAGGACTCGAATTTGCTAATGGTAATTTTTCATAAGGAAGTTTTTAAGCAGAACAGCTTAGACCAGTCCCACTTGGAAAGCCCCTTTCAATTAAAAGTGAAATTTTATTTCAGAAACCAAAACTAGCTATCTGTGGAGAAGCTCTGTGGTGGGAGCATCCACAGCCTATTCAGAGGGCCTACAAGCGATCTGGCTTTATAAAAACAGTCAGTACTTTCTCCACAAGTTATTTTCCTTCATGATATACTGAAAAGCCAGTGCAGTTCCACAGTTAAACAGTAGGAGGACTGAAAACTGACCCTCAGGAAACCACTCGCCCACTACATCATTCTTATCCCCAAACACAGGATGAGAGCCCCTGCTCCCAAGCTGCCCTTTTTTGGACTTGATTCTAACCCCATCTTATGGTGCCTGGAAACCACCTCCTAGAAATTAAAAATAAAACTAAGTGTGAGCCCTTTCTACTTGCATGGTCCCTGCCCTCAACAGCCAGGGGCTCCGGGAGTCCAGGACAGGGGTGTCAGCACAGGCTTCAGGGAGGAGGGTGCAGGGCTGGACATGTGTATCCTGGGGCTGTGGGCAGAGGAGGGAAACTCCACAGGCTTGGGAAGCCAGGCAGGAGAACTGAGGGTTGATAGGAGATGAAATTACTGTGTTTTTAAGTAAAAGTACATTCATTTAGACTATATCAACATGAAGCTTGTGCTAAATTGCTTTAATCATTTGAATCTTTTTACATCCATAGACTCTAGGGCTACTCTAGAGTAGCATCTGGATGGGATCCCTTGATACCCCTTACCCCCAGGCCCATGGCTAGCCACCCAACCCCTGGCCCAGAGCTGCAGGACAGGTTTGCATGGTTAGAAAAATCAGGTGCTCTGAGTCTGCTCTGCCATCACTAGGCTTGACTTGAGTCATTTTACCCAGTAGCAGGGTAAGCTGAGCTCAATGGGATAAGTGAATAAGGCCACAGTGGGAAATAGCCAGGGGGAGGATGACAGGAAGGGAGAGGTGATCAAGGGCCATGCCGCCAGTGGTGAATCAGGAAGAGGAGTGGGCAGGCTTCCCTGTGCTCTGACACTGGGGACCAAGTCTGAGAGCATCCTGCCGTAGCCCCCAGTGCCCAGCACCATGCCCAAAAACTATGTGGGGGGATGAACCGAGATGCTTTCTTGGACAATGTTATTTGTGTTATAAAACTCCAGACTGCCTCCCTGTCTCCCTCTGTAATTCTAAAATGGCACCAATACTTAGCTGACAAGGACTTCCAAGGGCTCAGTGTATGCTTTCCTTACTTGCTGGGTAGTCGTGCACAGACTAGATTCCTAGATTCCTACCTAGGCTGGGGACATGTCCAGTCCTCCCTGTTGACCCCGTCCTCCTCAGCCTCTGTCCCCAGAGCACCTGCACTTTAAGGGCTCCTGTGTCACTTGCCGAGGGATGCGTTGCCTTCAAGAACTGGGTACTTCTAGAGCAGCACAGACGGGGGACCCCAGGGCACCAGGGCCAGGGTGGCAAGCTCCATCAGTAAGTGGCAGGTGTAGGAGTGACCTTTGGTAGGTGCTTGGTGGGGAGGAGACAGAAGTTTGTGGGAGGGGGACTAAGCAGTCCAGGCTGCTGGCCATAGAAGCCCTGGAAAATTCAGGCATGGGGTTCTACCGAGTTTCCCTAATGATTCACAGGCTTGGCTCTGAGAATTTTGTTTGGGTTTCTTCAGAGCTTTTAACCTTTAGCATTTCTTGTTTAGAGAAGTGAAGCAGCGAGTGGGAGAGAAACTGGAGAAGCTGCAAGGCACAGTGAGCCCAGACCAGGGCAGTGGGGGCCCCTACCTCAGCACAGCAGCCATACAGGTCTCACAGAACCGGTGTCCACACTCAGTCTGCTTCGGGTTACACAGCACCAGGCGGCACTTCTCACACTTGTACTTGTCCTCCACGGTCTTCACAAACCTTTCTTTGTAACCTCCTTGTTCGGGGACGAAAATGGACGTCCCGGCGCTGCGATCAGGGTGCAGCTTTAGCGGTGGGTTAGTCTGCAGTGTGCCGGGGGAGTCCATCTTTTTACTTGACTCCATTTTAGGAAAGAGAAATTCTGGTGGGGGGAAAGGTAACAGTCATGAGTAAAATGCTATCATGTCATCCTGTGCAAGGAAAGGATACACAGCTTTGGGGGTGAAAAGTGCCTGAGAGCTGTGGGTTTGTTTGTTTGTTTGTTTGTTTTTCAGTTTAAGTAACATACAAGAACCTTCCTGACTTTAACATGTGATGGGAACCAGACATAAGCAAACATGCTTCTTCCCTTTCTATGTAAGCCAAACATGACTATTAACATTACTGTTCAAAAACTTCCAAAAAGTATACCAGTTGTGTCATTAAAGTTCTTTGAAATACAGGTAATACTTTGCTGTAACTTAAAATTATACACATCATTCTGATATTTTGGCCAAAGCAACAGATGTTCTCAGCCAGTTTTAGTTCTTGGTTCACCTCCCTGCTGATGAATGCCCGTGACACGACTCAGGGGTGGCCTGCCACATGGTGATGGCATTGCCATGGAGCCTGCGCTCAGAACAGTGTCACTCACTCCTCAACAGCAGACACTGTGTGATGGTGTCTGCAGACTCTTCATGCTACTTTTGCTCCCAAAGAGACCCCAAGAGTCTGCCCACAATGCTCCAATCTGGGCACACCGTGACTGGCACCTGCTTTCCGCCCACACGGCCAGCCTGGCCGCAATGTGACCCCACGCTGTGCACCACAGAGTTTCAGGATGCACCCACTGTGGATTTACAGGCACTTTCATGCCTGGGGATGGACATGGGACTTTCATGCCAGAGGGACACTGGGACTGAATGGGTCTCCTGTGCCCATATGGGCAGGCTCTCCTCCCGCACATGGTGACAAGTGCACAGATGGCTGCTTCCCACCTGTAAGTTCCCATCAACAGGCAAAATAACAGCTCCTACACATGAGCCACAAAGATTCCAGACTGTGCAGGTCCGCCAGCTGAAGTACACAGTAGCACATCTGGTGAACCTACAGAGGAATTTCTTTCAAAACTCACCAGGTCTCTCAAAACTACACTGTGTTCTTGCTCAATCCATTTATTTCTGCTAATTACAAAAATGAGGGCCAAATTCCATCTACTTACAAGGCCCCGGGTGTCTGTCCCCTCATCCCTTCCCTTTTCTCCCCAGTGCAAGGTTGGAACAGGAGGCAGACCCGTACCCCAGGCCACGGGGTACTGGGTGCAGAGCCCACTCTCTAGAGCCTTGTTCCTCACACTGCCTTGTTCTGCCTCTTTATGAAGCTGAAAGAATGAATGCTTTACAACTAGGAATGTACAGAACGCCAGCAGCCTAACATCTGACAAATAAATGAACTGGTGTTCTAGCCACACTCAGGCTAGTTTTAATAAAATAGAACATCACTGTGGCAAAGTGTGGAAGCCTCCTGTGAAATCCATCTATTTATAAAAATAAGAAAAAAAGCTTTCAAAAAGACCTCAAAAGGCCAGCTGCTCCTTGCTCACAATTTTGTTGATCAGAATCCTATTCATTGTGATGCTAAGCAGGAAGGTGCCTGGTGCTTGCTGTACCTGTCAGAGAAAATAGTTGACCAGGAGCCAATCTGCTGCCAACTGGCCATGCCATCTCTGGCACTGTGTGACCTCTCTCACCTTCCACACCAGGCCCTTGCTTCTGCAGATGCTCAGAGTTCACCTCCGCACCTTCTCAAGGACCCCCTTTGCCCTGTCTGTACTTTTTCCATGACACTTCCCACCCTCTAACTCTGCATGCTTGTTAACTCTCTCTCTCCTTGAGCAGGATGCAAGCTCCCCAGATACGCAGGTTTTGTTGACAAATTCCAGGTACCTAGAAGAGTGCCTGAGGGGCAGAAGCTACCCGGTATGTATCTGCTGAGCTAACAGATGTAAAGGTGAGGTCTGAGCCACTAATAGTACCAAGCTACGTTTCTGCGACAACCGACTCTTCCAGGAAAAGAAAACTCTTCAGCTTTTAGATCTGGTCTTGGAGCTTCTAGCCTTGAAAACTCTTCTTAGATTATAAGCTACTTATGAGTTTGGTTTAGTATCTCAGCCAATAATGTACAGGAAGCTGCATGTTCAATAAACAGTTTTTAATGACAAATATTTGATTCTTTAAAGGTGAATTCCTATTTCAAACCTGAGAGACAATTAACTTTGGATTAAACAAATGATAAATAATAAATGTTCATTTACCTACAACATGTCATTCTCTGTATAAATAAGAATACAGTTTGAGATTTTTTGTTTTCGTAGGCTATTTAAGATAAGTGAACAGATGCAAAATGTATCCCAGGCACATCAAAGAAAGCATCACAGCAGCCCTGTCCTAAAGGGCACATGACAGCCTATGGCCAGCAGGCCCATCAGGACTTACCTATAATGTAAGTTACCTTACCCTGTAATGTAGGGTGCCAACGGGAGCATCTCTGCAACGGGCGACTGTGGGACTCTGACAATCCTACCCAGCATCCCTGCATCTCATCCCACGCATGACCCATTCCCAATCTAGGCTGTGGGCTGGAGAATGAGCCTTAAGGGAAGGAGGGAAAGATGCTCTACCATGCTTGGGCTATAGAAACCAGAGCAACACCAGACCTCCTCTACCTTATATTCACAAGGAAGGAAAAAGAAGAGTAAGAAAATGGTCTAAATATGAAGTGTCCAGAATAGGCAAACCTATACAGATAGAAAACAGATTCATAGTTGCCAGGGCTGGGGGAGGGGAGTGTGTACTGGTGTGTACAGGCTTTCCCCCTGGAGTGATGGAGCAGTTCAGGGGTGATGAGCAGTTCAGGAACTGGATAATGGGACGGACTATCTCTGTCTAATGTATCTCTAAATACATTACAATTCATCGAACCAGACTTTTTTTTTTTTTTATGATAGTCACAGAGAGAGAGAGAGGCAGAGACACAGGCAGAGGGAGATGCAGGCTCCATGCACCGGGAGCCCGACCTGGGATTCGATCCCGGGTGTCCAGGATCATGCCCTGGGCCAAAGGCAGGCGCTAAACTGCTGCGCCACCCAGGGGTCCCCGAACCAGACATTTTAAAGAGGTGAATTTTACAGTACAAGAATTATATCTCAATTTAAAATCTAAACAAAAAATATTGCAAAATAACTGTTCAAAATGGCTCCCTGTGGGTTTGGTTAGTTTGTGTCATTTATACATAGTGGCATATACTCTAAAGTATAGGACTCTAACATTAAAACTGTATATGCCCAACTGCTGTGATCAGTGACAGACATCTAAGGGAGCACAGTGAGACTTTCATTGATTAGAACATTATGTGCCCTCAGAAAAGACAACAAAAAACTAAAACATGGAGGTGTGAAGTGCAAGGAATAAAGACCAGATCCCCTGACTGCAACTACCCAGGGGCAGATGCTCCCTTCTGACAAACATCCAGAAATGCACATGAAGAAAATATGTCTTCTTTCTCCCCGCACACAAACTGTGTCACACATCCAAATTCATCAACAGCTTCCTTTTGAAACCAATGCTGTATTCTGGCCATTTTTCCCATATCAGCGTATACAGATCTACTTTTTTATTTTGTTTTTTATTTTTTTGTTTTGTTTTTTAATATTTTATTTATTTATTCATGACAGACAGAGAGACAGAGAGAGGCAGAGACACAGGCAGAGGGAGAAGCAGGCTCCATGCTGGGATCCCGACGTGGGACTGGACCCTGGGTCTCCAGGATCATACCCCAGGCAGAAGGCGGCGCCAAACCACTGGGCCATCGGGGCTGCCCTACTTTCTTATTTTGAAGGGCTGCATACAGCACTCTACTGGATGGTTTACCTAATTGATATAACCAGTTCCACTAATGGAGAAACTCAGGCTGCTTCTGATGTTTTGCTATTTTTTTAAAAGAATTTTTTTTTGAGAGAGAGCGAGAGCGTACAGAAATGATGGGGAAGGACAGAAGGACAAGAAGAGAACTCCAAGCAGACTCCTTACTGAGTGCAGAGCCTGAAATGGGGCTCAATCCCAAGACCCTGAGATCATGACCTGAGTCCAAATCAGAGTCAGGTGCTAACTGATTGAGCCACCCAGGCGCCCCGATGTTGTGCTATCATGAACAATCTGCAGTGAACATTCCTGAACTTCTATCTTTGCACGTTTAGGCAACCACACACCAACAGAACTGATGGGTCAGAGGTGATGTGCATTTTATGGTACTCTAATCACTGCCAGACACTTGTAAAAGGTTGTATATTACTTATTTCCTTCAATATTTACTAAACTATTAAATATTATTTTAGAGGGCAATAGCCCATTTCATTCAAATACTGACGCTTCCCACTTTATTTCGCCTCAGGTGTTCCCTGGAGAGTATTGCTGGCTACATTGTTTTACAAACATCAGGGCTTTCAACCTGGGAATGCTGGAGGGCATGCCCACCACCCTTCTACGTGGGTGGGAGCACCCTTCTCCAGGAGTGATTCTGCAAAGGCTTGCCAAACCAATCACATTTTATTTCAACAAATACAACTAGGCACCTATGACATACACAGCTCTGTGCCTCACACATCAGGGACACAGCCCCTGAGAGCTTTGAAGGAGTCACGAGGAGGTGAGCACTCCAGGGTCAACAAGCAGAGGATGATGAACAGAAGGTACAAAGGGCTGCAGATCTTCAAAAAAGAAAGATAGCACATTGGTTTTGGGGATACTGAGACTTCAGGAGTTGGACTGGTGGTATCACTTCAATTCCAACAGAGGAGGACAAGAAGGAGCAGCAGACATGGCACTGTGAGGTGGCTGTGGAAGGGAACCTGGTGTTAGCGGTTTCAGGGGAGGAGCCAGTCAGGCAGGACATCTGGCACTGAGTAGCCTGGGTAGTAAGGGTGGCCCAGTGTCTCCCTGAGATGGATCCTTGAGCACAGCACTGACCCCCAGAGTCTCATTTCTCTTTACATGAAAAGCAGATACTATAACCCCTAACTATCTGCACTATCAGGCATTACTATAATATTTTAGGTTGAGGCCATCTGCAGACTCTGCAGCACTGTATACAGAGAAGATGCGTCCT